GTTGCCCCTCGTAGTTGATCAAACAAGTTATCAATCCTAGGCAAAGGATACATATTCTTGATTGTGACCTTGTTCAGTTGACGACAGTCAATACACATTCGAAGTGTCCCATCTTTCTTTTTCACAAAAAGAACTGGTGCCCCCACGGGGAGTGGCTTGGTCTAATGAAACCATTATCCAATAGCTCTTGCAATTGGGTTTTCAATTCATTAAGTTCAGCAGGTGCCATCCGATATGGCGGTATAGAGATTGGTTTCGTACCGGGTTCGACCTCGATCACAAATTCAATCTCCCTATTAGGTGGAAGCCCCGGTAGGTCTTTAGGGAAAACATCCGGGTACTTACAAACCACTCTCACATCATCGATGTTCGTTTCCTCTTTGGTTTTGTCAACCACGTATGCTAGATATGCGTGGCATCCCTTCCTCATCCTACTTCTCGCTCTCACAGCGGATATGATACAGCTGTTTGATCTCCCTCGATCACCCTCGAAGTGTAGGGTCTCCCCATCATTGCCTTCGAGTTCAAGAACCTTCGTGTAACAATCTACCCTAGCATGATTCTTTTCTAGCCAATCCATCCCTAGGATTGCATCAAATTCAATCATGCTCAGTAGTACGAAGTCACACGTCAAGGTTTGACCATTAACTTCCACCCCACAAGATGGATAGTAACAAGTTCTTTCCACGTCATCCCCTAGTGGTGTTGATACCACTAAGGTTTGCATCAACGGTGCGGATTGCACTTCCAATTCCTTGGCGAACGCTTCACTCACAAATGAACGTTGCGCCCCGGTATCGATAAGGATTCGCGCATCCTTCCCATTAATCTTTAGTGTCCCTACATTCATGAACCATGTAAGACATCTTTCCTACCCTCCCTACTCATTTATAGAAGGTTACAATGTTCACACACACGTTAGGGATCAAGAAAAGGTCTTAACGTCGCAAAACGGTGCGAAAAATCGGTTTTCGGCATTCTGGGTGCCAGGCACGGCGTGCCTGGGGGTAGGCACGATCGTGCCTGGCTTGGAAAAAGCCTAAGGAGCTACTGCCATGTAGGCACGATCGTGCGTGCCCTTAGGCACGATCGTGCCTGGGCGAAATTAGCCCGAAATTGCCCGAAATCCTCCCGGTTCGACCCCAAAGCTTCGTGCAACGATCCCAACGACTAGTAACCTCAATTTATGGACTAATTAAGGATAAAACACAAGTATACAAGAGGTAATACCTGCAACGGAATCCGGGTTAGCTTGAGCATCCGCCTCCGTCATCGCATAGACCCTAGCTTGGGTCCTTCCTTGGTTCACGGATGGCGCGTTGCTCGTGCTTGCTCCCCCATGTCCCCTGCTCCCTTGAGAAACCTTGGTTTGGTTTTCATTTCTTGTAGTTCCACCACTTGACCCCGAAGTTTGGTTTTGCACAAATTGTGGGCAGCTCACTCTCGTGTGCCCGACCTCTGTGCATTGATAGCACCTGGGAGGGTCCTGATACTTACCCGAGTGGTGTTTCTTGCAATTGTTGCACTTAGATACCCTCGGACCTTTTGACCTCGAGTTCTGGCCACCCGAGCCTCGACTCCACTCAAGTGATAGAGTCTGCGCCCTGAAGGTTTTGTCACCCTCAACGTTTTTCCTCCTTGAATGTCTTTGGGAATCGTTGTCTCCCCGCTTCCTTTTCCTTACTAATGGTATGCCCTCAGCTTGCCTAGCTTGGCGTTTTTGTATAAGCCTCACACGTTCACGTTGAAGCCAATCTATGACCATGCCTATTTGTTCAATGGGTGCACCATCAAGGTCCTCATCACTCAAATCATCTCCTTCGTCACCCGAAGCCTTGAGTGGTTCAGTTTTGCCATAACAAGGAGATTCTTCCTTGGTCTTAACATGACCACCACTCACGATTTGAGCTTCAAGAATTTCATGCACCTTTGGTCCTAAGGGCTTTTCTCGGTTGGCATGCCCAGTTCCACTTGGTGCAAACCCTTCCGAGTTCTCCCTATTCGTAATACCACCATCACCCTCCATCGCTGAAACAAATAATTAGAATGAGTCATTAGACTCGTTTCAAATGTCAACTGACAGATAGGCATTTAAGACATCTCTTGGGCCAAGTCACCGCCATACCAATCGTTAAGGGCGCCATCTTAACAATTAGAGACCTTGCAACTCAAACACCAAAAGTTCTTAAGTACAAAACATTTTCTATGCTCATGGTTTTCAAAATCATTTTGAAAAAAGGAATTTTGAGACTTCATTATGAAGTTTATGGACTAAGGCTCTGATACCAACTTAATTGTCACGCCCCGGACCTCCCCGAACACGTCAACAACCCGCCGTACAATATGAATAGTCAACCGCAGTCCAACACATTCATATTATACAAGGCGTCTTGAATATCATTCACACATATAACATCCATAAACAAACATAATAAGTAATTCATAACGCAGCGGAAAACATTGTTTAAAACAAAAGGGTCACACAGGGCTATTCATGAGCACGCAGGCTCTAAAGTAAAATATCCATGAGCATGTTTAATATTGTTCAAAACAGAATGGAGAAAGCACGAACCACGTCTTCTCTCCAAAGGATCACCCGAGCAACGGGCACAGGTAGCAAGCTCGAGCCTCAACCTGAAAAATGGTAGTGGGACGCCCCCGAAGGGGTCAGCACTCTATAGGGCTATAAAGTGCTGGTGTGGATGGCATCTAATAGATATACAACAAGTATTTCAAACACAAGACCCTCAAATAGGGTGATAATATAATCTAGGCCGTAACCCCAAGTTACACATTTTCAAAATATACTCACTTTATATATAAAGTCAAGTAGTCGGCCCGTAGGCCCAAGGTTTGTTTACCAAACATAGCCCAAACCCCGTGACCCCTAGTCACAACAATACATAGAGTTCAACCCTAACACATATGGTCGCATTTCTCGAGTCCAACTCGACTACATCACCATGCACCTTATTTAACACAAGTTACTTACTCCACCGTGCATTTCTTGAGTCCAACTCAACTACATCACCATGCACATCAATCACCACATCATGTCTACCCAATGCAATTCTATGAGCACGGGCTCAAGTACATCTCCTTACATTGGCATAGACCACAATTCCTAAGCACTCGCTATGCCTAGAATTTATAATACCAATAATCTATTTTGGGACATCCTTACGGACTGCCCAACCATGATCTTAGCATCACATTACATCAATTTAGCCACTTGCATCACAATCAAGTACATCAATTACAATCAAATCCTTAGATTCAATTCCTTAACAATTACAACAATCATTAACTAGTATTTCAATACTATTAAGATTATTCTTATCCATCATATATTCCATTTGTAAAACCCTACATATTTAGAGATATGTAGCAGCAACTAAATCATCCAATGTAATACATAAATAATCATTTATGTATCTACACAATTCACACATGAGTAAAATGCCTATTTCACACAATAGTTCATTTAACTCCATTTTTATCAATACTTTACCAAATCATTTCCCATTTCATTCTTTGGAAAATAGATCAATATTCCATCAACAATTTATCATCATAATCCATGGAAAACATGATTTAGGCATTTAGGTAATCTTATGTTTAACCTACAAGTTGTAAGCAACTAGATGTCGATCCTCACCTCAAATGAGAGCTTTAAAACTTTCCTTCTCGATCCAATGACCAAAGCCTCGGCCAAGGAAGCTTGAGAACTGATTCCTTGCTTAGAAATGAGTGTCAAACAGCCTCCTCAAAGTGCTAGTTCAACCCTTAATCGTTGGTACGAAAACAGCCCCTAGAATGGGTGTTTTCCGGCTAACTCGTTTCCTAGTTTTCCAAGATTTGCTCTAGGTTAGTATCTAACCTTTACATAAATAATAATAACTTTATAAGGACATATTATACACTTGGAGTAGTGTATAATAGTCCCACCAATCGTTCATATCATTTGGAAAATGAAAAGGAAGGTTTTGGATTCAAACTTACTTTGAATACAAAACTGTATTCTGCGAGGTAGCTTCTGCCTTCGGTGATTTGGGAGCCTTACACTGCTCCGTTTGCTGCAAAACAGACCTTCACGGATTTCTCGTCTTGAGATATTTCAGAAGACACCTTACACGCCTTATTTGGACTATTGGAGCTCAAGATATGAAGCAAACAATCAGCCTTACGCACTGGAAGTTTTCCTGCGGACAGTTACCTTCTTTCCTCCTCTCTTGGGTTGTGTGGCTCCTTTTTCCTTTCTTTTCTTTCTTTGGGTTCGTATGGAGGATTGTGGGAGTGTACAAGAGCTCTCAATCATGTTACCAAAGCATGTGGCTTAGAAGAGAGCATGGGAGACATTGGTTTGCAATCAAATGTGAGGTGGACCTCCACCTTTATTTCCTTTTTGTAATGTATTGCTCTTAAGTCAACATGCTCGCCCCATATAGTCATCTCACTCATTTTTTCTTTGTCTTGCAGGTACTCAAGTCATGTGGAGTGGTTCCCAATTGATCCCAATCAATTTGGGGTCCAAAATATCTACCAATACTTCCAAAAATGGGAAGATGGGTCCTATTGTTTTATCCTTTGTCAAAGATGTCTTTTGTACTCATCCTAATTTATTTAGAACAAGTCAACTCCCTACATAACATTATTGATCTTCAATATGTGTAGGCTCATCTCAATAATTTACTTGATGGATATCATAGAAGGAAAAAACCCCTCCCATTATTTAGTTCAATAATGTCAAAGATGGGGCTATAGGTATTTGTATTCTTCTCCAATCATTCTATCACTTATTTTGACATTTGTCATACATATTATTGGGCTAATAGCCGTGTTGTCACGCCCCGGACCTATCCGGACACGTCAACAATCCGCCGTACAGTACGAATAGTCAACCGCAATCCAACACATTCATACTATACAAGGCGTCTGGGTTATCATTCACACATAGTACATCCATAAACGAACATAATATAAAATATTCATTCAAAGCAGCGGAAACGTTTAATACAAGTGTTCAAGCCACACTTGGCGAAACATGGGCATACAAGCCATCAAATAATTATTCAAACGATAACATCCATGAGCATTAATTTAAATGATTTTAAAACAGGAACGGAGGAAGCACGAACCACGTCTTCTTCTCCTGAATTTCACTTGGAGCAACGGCGATGGTAGCAACCTTCAAGTTCTACCTGAAACTGTGAGGTGGCCTCCCCCGTGAAGGGGAGGTCAGTACTTGGAAGCATTTGACAAGTACAATGACAACTATACTAAGTATAATCAAAGTTTCAATTTCCAAGACCCTCAATCTAAGATGTTATTCATTTGTAATTAACTCATGTTCTCCATGCTAGAGCTCGGCTCATAGTCATATCAATTTGTGCTAGAGCTCGGCTCATAGTCACCCTACGTTTGCTAGAGCTCGGCTCATAGTCATGCTAATTTGTGCTAGAGCTCGGCTCATAGTCACCCTACGTTGCTAGAGCTCGGCTCATAGTCATACTAATTTGTGCTAGAGCTCGGCTCATAGTCACCCTACGTTTGCTAGAGCTCGGCTCATAGTCATACTATCACGTGCTAGAGCTCGGCTCATAGTCACGTCAACTAATCCCTAAACCACTTCTTAGTCTAGGTTCCAACCATTTGGAGTAACCCTTAAGGCCTACTCCAAATGTAACTTGAGTTCATAAAGTCCACCTTAAACATATCCTTTAAGGTTACCTAACTCCAATATCTTGGGATTAGCTCCTAAAAGCTATTGAACTAACATTCCCGACTAGTATTTCTATACTAGTCATTTAACCTTAGCAAACCAATGCAAATTCATAATAATTTGGATATTTCAATTTAATTCCACATTCAAGTATAACTTGGCTCTAATATCAAAATATCACTTTTATCCCTCCATGACTTCCTTACATGAGGTAAAAGTATATTTATCACAATTTAATTTATAGTTTACACAACTATTATGCCATTGTATTCATAACACGTAATCATACACAATTTATTCATAAATTGGTATATTATGCATTTTTTTGCTTATAAACAATAATAATCTCATTTAGGCATTTTTATTAAAAATAAATCATGCCAAACACATATAATTCATTTAGGTAATCTTATGAAATTAACCCAATAATTATAAGCAATATAGTCGGTCATCCTCACCTTAAGTGAGCTTAAGCGCGTTCTACGCTTCCCGATTGAACTTTGACTAATTCCGGCAAACTTTGACCAACTCCGGCGAACTTTGACCAACTCCGGCGAAACTCCGGCGAAGCTTAAAAATTCCTTAATCAAGTTCCTAACAAGGTTTTAACATCATAAAACCTTAATTAATACAAATAACCTCTAAAAGGTTATTTTCCGGTGAACTTGTCGGTTTGGCTCCTAAGTCCGTTTTTGGACTTAGAACCATCTTCCAACCCACCATCCCACACTCGAAACGTGTGGAACATTACCAAGGTTTCTTCATGTGATATATAATCCATATGATAATTAAGGAATAGAGGAAAAATTATTATAAGGTCATTACCTTAATCCACCTAGTTTTTCCTCCTAAAAACCTCCCCCTTGGACCTCCTTGAGCTTGAGCTTGTTCTTGGCTATGGAAGATGCTACTTTTTCTGGGATTTTCTTCCTCTCTTGAGGGTGTGGCCGAGTGATGAAGAGGGAAGGGGGTGAGTATCTTCTTTTGTCTCAATAGCATGAGGGGTGTGGGGAGAGACCCACCTTTTATTTTGTTTGATTCCTTTCCATTCACATCACACACCTCACCCATGTTTCCTTCATCATTCAGCCGGCCAAACATCAACTTTGTGTGACCAAATTCGTGGGTTGGCCCCCACCCAAGTGGGAGGTCAACCCCTTTGGTCCAGAAGTGTACAATCGGCTCCGAAAGTTGTATTTTTCGGACTGTTTTAAATATATTTTATTTTATCGGGTCAAATAAAATATATTATGTGTTCTTAATCATTATACCCTTTATAATGAATATACATTCCCAAACTTTAATTTATAAGTCCCCGAAATTCAATTTCGGGCTTTTATCGGTTAAATTATCAATACCGATATTTGGGTTTCTTTTGACCAATCGGTCAACTCTGGACCTTTCCATGGTTCAAATGAAGTAGTCACCACTATATAAATATTATTTTGACCAAGATAAATAAAATATATGGTTTCGGGAAATTCGGGCGGCCCCGCTCCCGGTGTGGGTCCCACGTGCGAATTTATTATTTCACGCAAAAGAAATATTAAAAATTCACCACTTCGTATATTCATTAACCATTCCATAAGGTTCAATATATTATACTCTTAAAAGTAAATACATTTGGGGACGGTGTTACAAGTTCACCCCCCTTATTTGGGATTTCGTCCCCGAAATCCACGTGTCTAACCGAAAAGAAACGGGTATTGCTCCCTCATTGAGAACTCAGTCTCCCACGTTTCTTCTTCGACTCGATCACTCCTCCAAAGAACCTTCACCATAGGAATCTCTTTGTTCCTGAGCTTCTTCACCTGTTGACCCACAATCTTTACCGGTTCCACCGCATATTGTAAATCTTCACGTATCTCCACCGGTGGCTTTTCAAGAATATGAGACGGATCTCTCACGTACTTCTTAAGCATCGATACATGAAACACGTCGTGTATCTTCTCAAGTTCTGGTGTCAACTTGAGACGGTATGCCACAGCCCCTATCCTTTCAAGGATTTCAAATGGACCAATGTACCTGGGGTTAAGCTTTCCCCTCGATATGAATCGGATGATACCCTTCCAAGGAGAAATCCTTAAGAAGACCTTATCACTGACCTCAAACTCCAATGGCCTGCGTCGTTTGTCGGCATAACTCTTCTGCCGATCTTGGGCAGCCTTGAGTCTATCCTGAATGACTTTCACCTTAGCCTTGGTGATTTCAACAAGTTCAATCCCTTCGAGCTTGGCCTCGCCAACCTCGTCCCAACACAGCGGTGTTCTGCATTTCCTCCCATACAATGCCTCATATGGAGGCATGCCAATACTCGCCTGATAACTGTTGTTATAGGCAAACTCTACTAGAGCCAAATGTTTGTCCCAGCTCCCTTGGAACTCCAGAGCACACGCCCTAAGCATGTCCTCCAATATCTGTATCACCCGCTCAGATTGTCCATCCGTCTGTGGATGAAAAGCCGTGCTGAACTTCAATTTAGTACCCAAGGATGCTTGAAACTTGGGCCAGAACCGGGATGTGAATCGTGGATCCCTATCCGAGACAATGGATATCGGGACTCCATGTAACCTCACAATCTCCTCCGTGTATAGCTTTGCCAATCTTTCAAGAGGGTAAGTGATGTTAATAGGCAAAAAGTGTGCACTCTTGGTGAGCCTATCAACCACTACCCATACTGCATCATAGTTGTTCACTGTTCGTGGTAGCCCCACCACGAAGTCCATGGTAACATGCTCCCACTTCCATTCTGGAATGGTCAGTGGCTGCAAAAGCCCCGCCGGGTGTTGATGCTCTGCCTTAACTTGTTGGCAAGTAAGGCATCGACTCACGTACTCTGCGATGTCTCTCTTCATACCCGACCACCAGTAACTTTCCTTCAAGTCTCGGTACATTTTAGTACCTCCTGGATGCATAGCATATGCCGAAGAATGAGCCTCCTCTAGTATGGACTTTTGGAGCTTCTCACTCTTTGGTATGCATACACGGTCTTTAAACAGTAAAAGGCCGTCATCACGTACCCGAAAGTTCTCCACGGGCCCTTCAAGGATCCTCTCCCGGATCTTCTGACATTCCTCATCAATGGCCTGACATCTACTGATCTCACCCAGTAACGTAGGTCTAACCTCGAATCTAGCAATGAGGACCCCACTCGTGGACACCTCCACTTGCGCCCTCAAAGTTCGTAGACATGTGAGTAATGTCCCCGACGTACCCTTCCTGCTCAGTGCATCGGCCACTACATTGGCCTTTCCGGGATGATAGTCGATGATCAAGTCATAGTCCTTGATCAACTCCATCCATCTCCTTTGCCTCATATTCAACTCTTTCTGAGTGAATACATACTTGAGGCTCTTATGATCGGTGAAAATGTGACATGTCTCTCCATAGAGATAATGTCTCCAAATCTTTAGTGCAAACACTACCGCCCCCAACTCCAGATCATGGGTAGGGTAGTTCGCCTCGTGTTTCTTCAATTGCCTAGAAGCATAGGCAATCACCCGACCGTTCTGCATGAGTACACATCCAAGCCCTTGGATGCTCGCATCACTGTATATGTCATACCCTATCCCTTGTGTGGGTAGAGCGAGAACCGGTGCTTCTGTAAGCCGTTTCTTTAGTTCGAGAAAGCCTTTCTCACAATTGTCGTCCCATATGAACTTGGCCCCTTTCTTCGTGAGCTTTGTTAATATAGACGCCAATACGGAAAATTTTTCAACAAACTTACGATAGTATCCCGCTAAGCCAAGGAAACTACGTATCTCTTTCACATTTTTGGGTCTCTCCCAATTCATAATGGCTTCTATCTTGGCATTATCCACCGAAATGCCCGAACTTGACACGACATGCCCGAGAAATCCAATCTCTTTGAGCCAAAACTCGCATTTAGAGAACTTGGCAAAAAGTTGTTTTTCCCTTAGTCGTTCAAGTACAAGGCTCAAATGATTTTCATGCTCCTCTTCACTCTTGGAGTATATCAAAATGTCGTCAATGAATACTATCACAAATTGATCTAAGTATTCACTGAACACACGGTTCATCATGTCCATGAATGCCGCCGGTGCGTTGGTTAGACCAAACGACATCACCAAAAACTCGTAGTGACCATACCTAGTGCGAAATGCACTCTTAGGTATGTCACTCTCCTTTATTTTCAGCTGATGATACCCTGACCTTAAATCAATCTTCGAGAATACTGTTGCCCCTCGAAGTTGATCGAATAAGTCATCAATCCTCGGTAAAGGATACCTGTTTTTGATTGTGACCTTGTTTAGCTGTCGATAGTCTATACACATTCTTAGTGTACCATCTTTCTTCTTTACGAAGAGTACGGGTGCTCCCCACGGTGAATGACTGGGTCTAATGAACCCGTTGTCCAATAGCTCCTGAAGTTGAACCTTCAACTCCTGAAGCTCGGTCGGTGCCATTCGATAAGGAGGAATCGAAATGGGTTTGGTTCCCGGCTCCACTTCAATCACGAATTCGATCTCTCTGTCGGGTGGAAGCCCCGGCAAGTCTTTGGGAAAGACATCCGGATATTTGCACACGATACGTACATCGTTGATGTCAACCTCCTTCTTTGCTTCATCCACTACATAAGCAAGGTATGCATGGCATCCCTTCTTCATCATCTTCCGTGCCCTCATCACGGATATTATACAACTATGAGATCCTCCCCGATCTCCCTCGAAACGTAGAGTGTTTCCCTCAGCATCCTCGAGTTCCAAAACCTTGGCATAACAATCCACTCGAGCATGATGTTTCTCGAGCCAATCCATCCCTAGAATTGCATCGAATTCTAACATACTTAGAGGTACGAAGTCACAAGTCAAAGGTTGACCCGTCACTTCTACCTCACACGAAGGATAGTAGTGTTTCCTCTCCACATCGTCTCCCAACGGTGTAGAGACCAACAAGGGTTGTGTCATTACTATCAACGGCACGTCTAAACTTTCGGCAAACGCTTCACTCACGAATGAACGTTGTGCCCCGGTATCAATGAGAATTCTTGCGTTTCTACCGTTGATCTTTAATGTTCCTACATTCATAAGTCATGTAAGACACACTAGGCCACGTATCGGATCGAAACGGGGCTTAACGAAAATTTTTCGGGTAACAATACACTGGACCGGCTCCGGTTTGCCTTCGGGGTGGCCGGATACCCACAAAATTAACTGGACCGGCGCCGGTTATGGCCAAAACCGGCGCCGGTTTACCTTCGGCAACTTCGAAAACTTGTTTTTCTTCAAAACCGGCCCCGGTTACGAGCACGGTGATTTTTTCCGACCCCCTTTTCCCCTAGACCGGCGCCGGTTATGGCCAGAACCGGCGCCGGTTTTGCTACGGCGTCCTCCGGAAAAAGAAAATTTTATTAGCTTGGCCTCCCCGACCCTTGACCGGCGCCGGTTATGGCCCAAAACCGGCGCCGGTTTACCCACGGCGACCCCAAAACGGGCGTTTTAATTAGAACCGGCGCCGGTTTTAGCCTCGACCGGCGCCGGTTTACCCCTGGGCAGTTCATTTCTGCAACTTTTTGCTAGGAAACTGGCCGGTATCGGCCCCGGCCAGCCCGTGCAACTTTAGCACTCAATACATGTAATTTATCAATCGTCACAAAGGGTTACCTGCAACGGAGTCGGGATTGGCCCGAGCGTCAGCCTCGGTCATCGCATAGACTCTAGCTTGAGTCCTCCCTTGATTTACAGACGGCGCGTTGCTTGTGCTCGCTCCCCCTTGCCCCGCACTAGCATGGGGTGCCCCAGTTCGGCTCCTACTCGCCGTGGTGGCGCCGCTTGATCCCGCCCCTCGGTTCCCACCAAGTTGAGGGCAATTTGGTTTAATATGCCCTGTACTCCCGCATTGGAAGCACCGTGGTGGATCACGACACTTACCGGCGTGGCTCCTGTTACAATTCCTGCACCTGGGCGTCGTTGAGGCTTGTGAGCCCGAGTTGTGCCCGCTGAAAGCCGGGTTTCCCTTGGATGGCGGTGCCGGTGTTCTGAATGATCCACCTCCCCCATGGTTCCCCTTTTTGTTAGAACCTTGGGGGCCATGGCCTTCCCACTTTCTCTTCTTCGCCTCTTCGGTGTCTCTCTTCTTTCTCTCTTCCCATTGCTTCTCTCCTTTCAACCCTTGGGCAACCACTTGGCTGAAAGTCATGTTGGGCAATTGAGTCGCCCTATCACGTATCTCCAGGTCCAAGGCCTCCCAAAAGTGATTCACCATTCGGTTTTCATCACAAGCATACTCCGGTATGTGGTCGGCAAGGTCCCTGAACTTGTGCTCGAGTTCTTTCACCGTCATGTTACCCCCTTGGGTTAGGAGAGTATATTCCCTCACCTTTGCATTTACTTCAAAGTCGGAGTAGTATTGGGCAAAGAATTCTTGCCGAAAATCCTCCCAAGTAACATTCCCGCCATACTTGCCTTTGGTTCCATCCCACCACTTGGATGCCAACCCTTCAAGTAACCTCACCGCGATTCTCAGTTTGAAATCGGGGGTGAGTTGCATGTCAAGGGCTGCCTCGTTCAGCCTCTTGATCCATTGCGCGGCCACCGAGATGTCCCCCGTCCCATCGAACGGTTTGCACCCCAGGTCCCTCGCCTCTTTGATGTATTTGGAGATCCTTATGGTTGGACCTCCATCACCTCGACTCCCATGCGCTTCCACATGGGTTCTTGAATCACAATAGCTCCTTCCTCTTGGAGCCCCACCCGAAGGTTGCCCCGCACGGCGCCTTCGGCGTTCCCTCCTTTCCTCGCGCTCCCGATGATATTGTTGGAGCAGCGCTTCGATCCGAGCCAAGGAGCCACTTTCCTCCTCGTCGCTCACATCGTCGTCGTCCCCTTCATAAGGGGTCTCAACCGGCTCCGTTTCCGGCCGGTAGGTTGAATCTTCATAAGACCAATAGGTCTCACTTTCCGTATCGACGTGGCCATCGCTCACGGTTTGTTGTTGTCAGCCTCCGCGGCCTCTTCCTCTTGATCCCCTAGAGGACCCCCGGCTACCGCGCTCGGACCCACCCGGCACACGGCCCGTCGGGTTCCTCCTAGTGATCCTTCCGACTGGCTCCATTTCTGAAAGGAAGTAGAATGAGTCATTAGACTCGTATCAATGTCAAGTGACGGATAGGTACTTAAAGACATCCTTTGGCTCAAATCACCGCCATACCAATTGTTAAGGGTACCATCTTAACAATTAGAGACTTTGCAACCCAAGTACCAAAAGTTCTTTAAGTACAAAACTTTTATGCTCATGGTTTTCAAATTCGTTTTCAAAAAGAGATTTTGAGGCTTCATTATGAAGTTTACGGACTAAGGCTCTGATACCAATTAAATTGTCACGCCCCGGACCTATCCGGACACGTCAACAATCCGCCGTACAGTACGAATAGTCAACCGCAATCCAACACATTCATACTATACAAGGCGTCTGGGTTATCATTCACACATAGTACATCCATAAACGAACATAATATAAAATATTCATTCAAAGCAGCGGAAACGTTTAATACAAGTGTTCAAGCCACACTTGGCGAAACATGGGCATACAAGCCATCAAATAATTATTCAAACGATAACATCCATGAGCATTAATTTAAATGATTTTAAAACAGGAACGGAGGAAGCACGAACCACGTCTTCTTCTCCTGAATTTCACTTGGAGCAACGGCGATGGTAGCAACCTTCAAGTTCTACCTGAAACTGTGAGGTGGCCTCCCCCGTGAAGGGGAGGTCAGTACTTGGAAGCATTTGACAAGTACAATGACAACTATACTAAGTATAATCAAAGTTTCAATTTCCAAGACCCTCAATCTAAGATGTTATTCATTTGTAATTAACTCATGTTCTCCATGCTAGAGCTCGGCTCATAGTCATATCAATTTGTGCTAGAGCTCGGCTCATAGTCACCCTACGTTTGCTAGAGCTCGGCTCATAGTCATGCTAATTTGTGCTAGAGCTCGGCTCATAGTCACCCTACGTTGCTAGAGCTCGGCTCATAGTCATACTAATTTGTGCTAGAGCTCGGCTCATAGTCACCCTACGTTTGCTAGAGCTCGGCTCATAGTCATACTATCACGTGCTAGAGCTCGGCTCATAGTCACGTCAACTAATCCCTAAACCACTTCTTAGTCTAGGTTCCAACCATTTGGAGTAACCCTTAAGGCCTACTCCAAATGTAACTTGAGTTCATAAAGTCCACCTTAAACATATCCTTTAAGGTTACCTAACTCCAATATCTTGGGATTAGCTCCTAAAAGCTATTGAACTAACATTCCCGACTAGTATTTCTATACTAGTCATTTAACCTTAGCAAACCAATGCAAATTCATAATAATTTGGATATTTCAATTTAATTCCACATTCAAGTATAACTTGGCTCTAATATCAAAATATCACTTTTATCCCTCCATGACTTCCTTACATGAGGTAAAAGTATATTTATCACAATTTAATTTATAGTTTACACAACTATTATGCCATTGTATTCATAACACGTAATCATACACAATTATTCATAAATTGGTATATTATGCATTTTTTTGCTTATAAACAATAATAATCTCATTTAGGCATTTTTATTAAAAATAAATCATGCCAAACACATATAATTCATTTAGGTAATCTTATGAAATTAACCCAATAATTATAAGCAATATAGTCGGTCATCCTCACCTTAAGTGAGCTTAAGCGCGTTCTACGCTTCCCGATTGAACTTTGACTAATTTCGGCAAACTTTGACCAACTCCGGCGAACTTTGACCAACTCCGGCGAAACTCCGGCGAAGCTTAAAAATTCCTTAATCAAGTTCCTAACAAGGTTTTAACATCATAAAACCTTAATTAATACAAATAACCTCTAAAAGGTTATTTTCCGGTGAACTTGTCGGTTTGGCTCCTAAGTCCGTTTTTGGACTTAGAACCATCTTCCAACCCACCATCCCACACTCGAAACGTGTGGAACATTACCAAGGTTTCTTCATGTGATATATAATCCATATGATAATTAAGGAATAGAGGAAAAATTATTATAAGGTCATTACCTTAATCCACCTAGTTTTTCCTCCTAAAAACCTCCCCCTTGGACCTCCTTGAGCTTGAGCTTGTTCTTGGCTATGGAAGATGCTACTTTTTCTGGGATTTTCTTCCTCTCTTGAGGGTGTGGCCGAGTGATGAAGAGGGAAGGGGGTGAGTATCTTCTTTTGTCTCAATAGCATGAGGGGTGTGGGGAGAGACCCACCTTTTATTTTGTTTGATTCCTTTCCATTCACATCACACACCTCACCCATGTTTCCTTCATCATTCAGCCGGCCAAACATCAACTTTGTGTGACCAAATTCGTGGGTTGGCCCCCACCCAAGTGGGAGGTCAACCCCTTTGGTCCAGAAGTGTACAATCGGCTCCGAAAGTTGTATTTTTCGGACTGTTTTAAATATATTTTATTTTATCGGGTCAAATAAAATATATTATGTGTTCTTAATCATTATACCCTTTATAATGAATATACATTCCCAAACTTTAATTTATAAGTCCCCGAAATTCAATTTCGGGCTTTTATCGGTTAAATTATCAATACCGATATTTGGGTTTCTTTTGACCAATCGGTCAACTCTGGACCTTTCCATGGTTCAAATGAAGTAGTCACCACTATATAAATATTATTTTGACCAAGATAAATAAAATATATGGTTTCGGGAAATTCGGGCGGCCCCGCTCCCGGTGTGGGTCCCACGTGCGAATTTATTATTTCACGCAAAAGAAATATTAAAAATTCACCACTTCGTATATTCATTAACCATTCCATAAGGTTCAATATATTATACTCTTAAAAGTAAATACATTTGGGGACGGTGTTACACGTGTGGGTCAGTCCCGAGTGGGTCTAGGACGCCATTCTCGAATACTTGCTATTTTTAGCAGGTTGGGCCCAAAATAATATTTGGGCCGCCCGACTTTCCTCAAATTGTCTTGAAAGGTTAAGTAACAATATTTAAGTAATGTTGGGCTCTTATGTTCATTAATAAGGCCCAAATAAGTATTTGCAAAACCCGACACTAATATACGAGTTTGAACAGTGCAATATTCAATCATGCACTACGTAAAACATAACTTGTTCTACAATTGTTTGGTAACCCGGAAATTCAATACATAACTTTGAATCTTAAATTGAATTTTCAAGGACGCTCGGGCGCGGTGTCACAAGTTCACCCCCCCTTAACAGGAATTTCGTCCCCGAAATTCACAGCTCTACTTGAATAGGAAGGCATATTGCTTCCTCATCAAAGCCTCTGTTTCCCATGTCTCTTCTTCGACCCGATCGCTCTTCCAAAGTACTTTAACCATTGGGACTTCTTTGCTCCTCAGTTTCTTCAACTTTTATAGTTTTTTTGCTCCTCATTGGGACTTGGTTTTTTTTTCATTTCTTGTATTCATTTTTATAGTTTAATGAACAACCTAATTCGTATTAAGTAACACTCATTATACGAACACTTTTTAGGAAAAATAAATAAATGAACTGATGTTTGAAACTTCAAATGTCTGAAAATGTGAATGGATGTTCTTTGCTTCAACAGTACGGTCTTCGTTCACAAGAGTGGTTAGTGTTCGAACACAGTTGTGAAAAATAAGGCGGGTGTAAGAAGAAAAACGTTAGTTGGTGTTTGAGGTTCAGACCACCATTTTGAGGAACATTCAAAATATGCCACATGGATATTTTTTATCCACGTTCATTCCATGTCAACCCCACATCAGCTGTATTAAATCCGGATGTAACCGGTTCAGAACATGTCAAAAGGGTCCAATTGCATTAATTTTTTTGGGTTAAAGTGTGTATTAGTGAGGTCAACAGGTTTAGGGGTTCAATTGCAAATATGAAAATAGTTCGAGGGACTATTTGTCATTTTTCTCTTATTTTTAAAATATATATCTTGGAAAATTTTATGGTGCCTTGGCATTATATAGTTTTTCTGTGCATCTCAGATGGGGCGGATGTCTACCGGTAAATTAATCCAACTAATTTTTTATTTTTAAAATATCTTGGAATAATAAAAGAGTCCAATTGCCTGCAAAATTGCATAGAAACCCTTCAATCCCTGGAGTTGGACGCCGGCAACGCAGGGGACACGACGGGGGTTTCTCAAATTCCCGGGAGACTTCGACTGTCTCCTCCAAGGTTTTAAATAGTTGGCCGCTACGGCTATCAAGGCCGCTATATAGCGGTCGCAACAGCCTCCGCTACCACTCCGGGCCGCTATCAAGGTGTGAAATTCAAATCACACAAAAAACCGCTACATAATGCATGTACCGCTACGCCGCCCGCTACGCACCGCTACAGCCCACTACCGGCACATCCGGCAGTGCATCACGAACTAGTTGATGTGTAAATGTTGTCTGCATGGTGTGAAATACATTAATGGTGGTGCATAGAGTTATAATCTTAATAAAATGTACATGTATCTCCATACATTATGGGACCAAATATTAATAAATATGTAAAGTTTAATTATTAAAACCAAATTAATTATTAATAAGGATGATTTAACTTTAATATCGGTTGACGAAAATGTATGGTGTTTGTAATGTATCATTTAATGTAATAATCTATTTAATTTAAAGATGTGTTAAGCCTTGTTTAGTTTGAAGACATTTTTTATTGTGCGTGTAATAATTATTTAGTTTACCAATCTTTCTAATTATCGTTCTTTTTTAATTGTCATATTCTTATTAGTTGATTAGTTGTTCACATATAAGTGTTCAAACAAATATTCATAATGTTTCTATTAACTTTAACACTCATTAATTATATGTTTTGCGCACTTGAAAATATTTCACGCCGCTGCGCCCGCACCCATCGCAGCGGCCGCTATCAAGATGATCGCTACGACTATTCAAAACCATGGTCTCCTCCAACAGCGGTGACGGCGTCTAAGGCAAGCGACGGCGGTGGCACCAGTTCGGTCTGGCAATACTACTCTTCTTCTCCGGTGCAGCACTCCGTCTTCTCCAGCGTGAGGTCGGTCCGGACGGCCACTCTAGTATTCGATCAGATTTTAAATCAAGGAAAAGTTCTTCAGTACCATTCACTCACAAAGAGTGAAGGAGCATATTGTAGTGATGGCGGATAGAAACGGATTGTGAGGGGCCACCGGGCCACTTAGCAATTTTTATTTTATTTTATGAAATGGCAGATGTACCGGTGGGCGTAGCTCAACTGGTAGCGAGGGAGTGCCACAAGGATTAGGTCACGGGTTTGAATCCCGACAACTGCGATGAGGGGTTACTATGCTGAAAAATGCATAGGGCTTCTGCAAGTACCGGAGACAGAGCCCCACTCTCTATCTGTCAGATTGTGATTATAGTCCAATTTACATCCTTTCATCGTGCCGTCCGGTCGGTGTTGGGGGCCCTAAGGGATGGGGTGTCTGTCACGCCCCGGACCTACCCGGACACGTCAACAACCCGCCGTACAATACGAATAGTCAACCGCAGTCCAACACATTCATATTATACAAGGCGTCATGAATATCATTCACACATACAGTGCTGGACTCAGGCCGGGCGGCCCGGCCCGGAACCGGCCCGGCCCGGTTACTGTTTGGCCCGGCCCGGCCCGGGGCCCGGTGGGTCCCTCGGTTCGGTTCGGCCCGGCCCGGCTGCTGGGCGGTTCGGGCCCGGGCCCAGGTTTTGGTGAACCGGCCCGGCCGGTTCGGGCCCGGTCCGGGCCGGATTTTATTTTTTTTTTTTTTGAAATTTTTTTAAGTTTTAGGTTGGATTAGGTATTTTGGGCCATTTGAGGTGGTTTGGGATGGTTTGGGGTTGAGGGGGAGGGGTAGGGGATTAAATAGGAGAACAAAAAAAAAAATTAATTGGGCCGGTTCGGCCCGGCCCGGCCCGGCCCGGTTTGGCCCGGAACCGGGACCGGAACCGGCCACCGGCGGTTCGGGCTCGGGCCTCCCTTTCCTGGCCCGAGGTCCGGCCGGGCCCAGGCCCGAACCGAGCCCGAACCGGCCCGAGTCCAGCACTACACACATATAACATCCATAAACAAACATAATAAGTAATTCATAACGCAGCGGAAAACATTGTTTAAAACAAAAAGGCCACACCGGGCTATTCATGAGCACGCAGGCTCTATAGTAAAATATCCATGAGCATGTTTATTAATGTTTAAAATCCGAATGGAGGAAGCACGAACCAAGTCTTCGCTCCTAGATGATCTCTCGAACAACGAGCACAGGAAGCAAGCTCTAGCCTCAACCTGAAAAATGGTGGTGGGACGCCCCCGAAGGGGTCAGCACTCTATAGGGCTATAAAGTGCTGGTGTGGATGGCATCTAATAGATATACAACAAGTATTTCAAACACAAGACCCTCAAATAGGGTGATAATATAATCTAGGCCGTAACCCCAAGTTACCCCTTTTTTAAAATATACTTACTTTATAAATAAAGTCAAGTAGTCGGCCCGTAGGCTCAAGGTTTGTTTGTCAAACATAGCCCAAACCCCGTGACCCCTAGTCACAACAATATATAGGGTTCAACCCTAACACATATATTTGCATTCTCGAGTCCAACTCGACAACATCACCATGCACCTTATTTAACACAAGTTAACTACTCCACCGTGCATTTCTTGAGTCCAACTCAACTACATCACCATGCACAACAATCACCCCATCATGTCTACCCAATGCAATTCTATGAGCACGGGCTCAAGTACATCTCCTTACATTGGCATAGACCCCAATTCCTAAGCACTCACTATGCCTAGAATTGCAATATCAATAATCTATTTTGGGACATCCCTACGGACTGCCCAACCATGGTCTTAGCATCATATTACATCAAATTTGTCACTTGCATCACAATCAAGTACATCAATTATAATCAAATCCTTAGATTCAATTTCCTTAACAACTACAACAATCATTAACTAGTATTTCAATACTATTAAGATTATTCTTATCCATCATATATTCCATTTGTAAAACCCTACATATTTAGAGATATGTAGCAGCAACTTAATCATTCAATGCAATACATAAATAATCATTTATGTATCTACACAATTCACACATGGGTAAAATGACTATTACACACAATAGTTCATTTAACTCCATTTTTATCAATACTTTACCAAATCATTTCTCATTTCATTCTTTGGAAAATAGATCAATATTCCATCAATAATTTATCATCATAATCCATGGAAAACATTATTTAGGCATTTAGGTAATCTCATGCTTAACCTACAAGTTGTAAGCAACTAGATGTCGATCCTCACCTCAATTGAGCTTTAAACTTTTTCTTCTTGATCCAATGGTCAAAGCTTTGGCCACGGTGGATTAAGAACTGATTCCTTGCTTGGAATTGAGTGTTAAACAGCCTCTTCAAAGTGCTAGTCCAACTCCTAACCGAAGACACAAAAACAGTCCCTAGAACGGGTGTTTCCCGACGAAATCGTTCCCTAACCTTTCAAGGTTTTGTCTAGATTAGTATCTAACTTTTCCAACAATTAAAGTCATTTTATAATAACATTTTATACACTTCAATCAGTGTATAATAGTTCTTCAATCATTTATATGGTTTAGACAATAGAGAGGAAGGTTTTGGATTCAAACTTACTTTGAATACAAAAACGTATTCTGCGAGGTCGTGTTTTGCTCGGTCGATTTGGAAGCCTTCCACTACTCCGATTGATGCAAACCAGACCTTCACGGATTCCTCGTCTTGAGAGCTTTCTTTTGGTATCTCGAACTCCTTATGTGGATGAGTAAATCTCAAGTTAGGGCTCAAACAATCAGAGCTACGCACTGAAAAACGAACCTGCGGACTGCTCTCCTCCTTCCTTCCCTCTTGGGTTGTGTGGATTCCCTTGCTCTCTTATCTATTTGGGGGGTTCGAATGGGGTGTAGGAGGAGTGTATTAGGAGGCCTCAATCATGCTAAGAGAGCATGTGGTTCACAAAAAGAAGGGTAGGGTATTTGATTGCAATCAAACATGGTGTGGACCTCCTCTTTAATTTCCTTTTTGTAATGTTGTAGCTCATGAGTCAAAAGTCCGCCCCACATAGTTGTCTCACCCATTTTTCTTTGTCTTGTAGGTACTAATATCATGTGGAGTGGTTCCCAATTGATCCCAATCATTTTGGGGTCCAAAATATCTATCAATACTTTCAAAAATGGGAAGATGGGTCCTATAGTTTTATCTTTTGTCAAAGATGTCTTTTTGTACTCATCCTAATTTATTTAGAACAAGTCAACTTCCTTCATCACATTATTGATCTCCAATATGTGTAGGCTCATCTCAATAATTTACTTGATGGGTAATATAGAAGGAAAATCCTACTCCCATTATTTAGCTCAATAATGCCAAAGATGGGGTTATAGGCATTGGTACTCTTCTTTAATCATCCTATCACTTATTTTGACATTTGTCATTCATATTATTGGGCTACACGCCGTGTGGGTCGCCCCCGAGTGGGCCTACGACGCCATTCTCGAATACTTGTTATTTTAGCGGGTTGAGCCCAAAATAATATCTGGGCCGCCCGCCCTTTCTCAACTTGTCCTGAAACGTTATGTATCGCTACTAATATACGAGTTCGATCAGTACAATAATCGATCATTAATTACGTAAAACATTAATCGTTTTACAATCGTTTGGGAATCAGAAATCCAATACATAAACTTTGAATTTTAAAACTCAATTTTCAAGGACGTTTGGGTGCGGTGTCACAAGTTCACCCCCCCTTAACAGGAATTTCGTCCCCGAAATTCACAGCTCTACTCGAATAGGAAAGCATATTGTTTCCTCATCAAGGCCTCTGCTTCCCATGTCTCTTCTTCGACCCGATCGCTTTTCCAAAGGACTTTAACCATTGGGACTTCTTTGCTCCTCAGTTTCTTCACCTTCCTATCGGTGACCTTGATTGGTTGCACAGCGTAGTTCAAATCCTCGCGTACCTCTACAGGCGGCTTTTCCAATACGTGAGAGGGATCATGCACATACTTCTTAAGCATGGATACATGAAACACATTATGTATCTTTTCTAACTCCGGAGTCAGCTGTAGACGATATGCTACGGGCCCAATCCTCTCTATAATTCTTAATGGACCTGTATATCGTGGGTTAAGTTTTCCTCGGGTTTGGAATCGAATGATCCCTTTCCAAGGGGAAACTTTCAAGAATACCTCGTCATCAACCTTAAACTCTAAGGTTCTTCGACGCTTATCTGCATAACTCTTTTGTCTATCCTGAGCCGCTTTGAGTCTCTCTCGGATCAACTTCACCTTTGATTTGGTGACCTCAACCAACTCAGTACCCTCGAGTTTGGCCATGCCAACCTCGTCCCAGCATAACGGTGTACGACATCTCCTCCCATACAATGCCTCGTATGGAGGCATACCGATGCTTGCCTGATAACTGTTGTTATAGGCAAATTCCACAAGTGCTAAGTGGTTGTCCCAACTTCCTTGGAACTCCAACGCACAAGCCCTCAGCATGTCTTCTAAGATCTGTATGACTCTTTCAGACTGCCCATCCGTCTGTGGGTGGAAAGCAGTACTGAACTTCAACCTCGTTCCCATAGACTCCTGAAATTTCGGCCAAAAACGTGATGTGAATCGTGGGTCTCTATCGGATACAATGGTCACTGGGACCCCATGCAGCCTCACGATTTCATCCGTATATAATTTGGCTAACCTCTCAAGTGGGTAGGTAGTGTTGATAGGCAAAAAGTTTGCACTCTTCGTGAGCCTATCCACAACAACCCAAACTGCATCATAGTTCCGAATCGTCCGTGGTAAACCTACCACGAAATCCATAGTCACATGTTCCCACTTCCACTCAGGAATGGAAAGTGGTTGTAACAAGCCTGCTGGATGCTGATGTTCTGCCTTAACTTGTTGGCAAGTAAGGCATCGACTGATGTACTCGGCTATTTCCCTCTTCATTCCAGACCACCAGTAACTTTCTTTCAAATCACGGTACATTTTCGTGCCCCCCGGGTGCATGGCATAAGCCGATGAATGAGCCTCCTCTAAGATGGACTTTCGTAGCTCATCGTCTGACGGCACACACACTCGGTCACGAAATAACAAGAGACCATCATCTCTTTCCCTGAAATCCTCCACCGGTCCCGCTTGCATGCGTTCCCGGACCTTCATCAGTTCTGCGTCAGTCTCTTGACCCTTCTTGATCTCATCAAGTAAGGTCGGTCTCACTTCGAATCGTGCCAATAAAGCACCGTCGTTAGATACATCCAATTGGGCCCTCAGTGCCCTCAAACAAGTCAACAATGCCCCAGACGAACTCTTCCGACTAAGGGCATCTGCTACAACGTTTGCCTTGCCTGGATGGTACTCAATAACTAGATGGTAGTCCTTTATCAACTCCATCCACCGTCTCTGTCTCATGTTTAACTCTTTCTGAGTAAACACGTACTTCAAGCTCTTATGATCAGTATATATGTGACATGTCTCTCCGTAGAGATAATGTCTCCAAATCTTCAGTGCAACCACTACTGCTCCCAGCTCCAGATCATGGGTAGGGTAATTTACCTCATGCTTCTTCAACTGTCGTGAAGCATAGGCAATTACTCTCCCCTCCTGCATCAACACACACCCAAACCCTTGGATGCTCGCATCGCTATAGACATCGTACCCCACACCCTGTTTGGGTAATGCAAGTACCGGTGCCTCGGTCAATCTCTTCTTTAGTTCCATGAACCCTTTCTCACATTTGTCATCCCATACAAACTTAGCTCCTTTACGAGTGAGCTTCGTCAATGGTGATGCCAAAACAGAGAACTTCTCCACGAACTTTCTGTAGTAGCCTGCCAATCCAAGGAAACTACGAATTTCCTTGACGTTCTTCGGCCTCTCCCATTCGGTAATGGCCTCTATCTTCTTGTTATCAACAGCAATTCCCGATCCTGAAACCACGTGCCCGAGAAAGCCAATCTCCTTTAGCCAAAATTCACACTTAGAAAATTTGGCATAGAGTTGCTTCTCCCGTAGTGTCTCAAGAACGAGTATCAAGTGCTCTTCATGCTCTTCCTCACTCTTTGAGTAAATCAAGATGTCATCTATGAACACAATCACGAATCGATCCAAGTATTTATGGAATACTCGGTTCATCAAGTCCATGAATGCCGCTGGGGCGTTTGTTAACCCAAACGACATAACAAGGAACTCAAAATGCCCATACCTTGTGCGGAAAGCACTCTTTGGTATGTCGTCTTCCTTAATCTTCAATTGATGGTACCCCGACCTCAAGTCAATCTTCGAAAACACGGTTGCTCCTCGTAGTTGATCAAACAAGTCATCAATCCTAGGCAAAGGATACCTATTCTTGATTGTGACCTTGTTCAGTTGACGATAGTCAATGCGCATTCGAAGTGTCCCATCTTTCTTTTTCACAAAAAGAACCGGTGCTCCCCACGGGGAGTGGCTTGGTCTAATGAAACCGTTATCCAAAAGCTCTTGCAATTGGGTTTTCAACTCGTTAAGTTCAGCGGGTGCCATACGGTATGGCGGTATGGAGATTGGTTTGGTGCCGGGCTCGACCTCGATCACAAATTCAATCTCTCTATCGGGTGGAAGTCCCGGTAGGTCTTTAGGGAAGACATCCGGATACTTACAAACCACCATCACCTCATCGATGTTCGTTTCCTCTTTGGTTTTGTCGACCACGTATGCTAGATATGCGTGGCATCCCTTTCTCATCATACTTCTCGCTCTCACGGCGGATATGATACAGCTATTTGATCTCCCTCGATCGCCCTCGAAGCGTAGGGTCTCCCCATCATTGCCTTCGAGTTCAAGAACCTTCGTGTAGCAATCTACCCTAGCATGGTTCCTTTCTAGCCAATCCATCCCTAGGATTGCATCGAATTCAATCATGCTCAGCGGTACGAAGTCACACGTCAAGGTTTGACCATTAACTTCCACTCCACAAGATGGATAGTAACAAGTTCTTTCCACGTCATCCCCTAGTGGTGTTGATACCACTAAGGTTTGCATCATTGGTACGGATTGCACTTCCAATCTCTTGGCGAACGCTTCATTCACAAATGAACGTTGCGCCCCGGTATAGATAAGGATTCGCGCATCCTTCCCATTAATCTTTAGCGTCCCTACATTCATGAACCATGTAAGACATCTTTCCTACCCTCCCTACTCGTTTATAGAAGGTTACAATGTTCACACGCACGTTAGGGATCAAGTAAAGGTCTTAACGTCGCAAAACGGTGCGAAAAAATCGCACTTCGGCAATCTGGGTGCCAGGCACGGCGTGCCTGGGGTAGGCACGATCGTGCCTGGCTTGGGAAAAACTCTGGGCGCTACTGCCTTGGAGGCACGATCGTGCGTGCCTGGGTCGGGAAAATTCGCTGGCAGACACTGCCTTGCAGGCACGATCGTGCGTGCCTTAGGCACGACCGTGCCTGGGTCGGGGAAACGTGCAGGCGGCTACTGCCTTGCAGGCACGATCGTGCGTGCCTTAGGCACGACCGTGCCTGGGCGAAAACAGCCTGAAATGGTCCTAAACCTTCCCGGTTCGACCCCAAAGCTTCGTGCAATGATCCTAACAATTAGTAACCTCAATTTATGGACTAATTAAGGATAAAACACTAGTATACGAGAGGCAATACCTGCAACGGAATCCGGGTTAGCTTGAGCATCCGCCTCCGTCATCGCGTAGACCCTAGCCTGGGTCCTTCCTTGGTTCAAGGATGGCGCGTTGCTCGCGCTTGCTCCCCCTTGCCCCCTGGTTACTTGGGAACCCCCGGCTTGGTTCCTTGTCCCCGTAGCCCCGCTACTTGGTCCTGATGCCCTCGTTCCGCCCAGTTGTGGGCAATTCATCTTCATGTGCCCGGTGCTCCCGCATTGGTAGCATCTAGGAGGGTCACGACATTTCCCCGGGTGGTTCCTCTTGCAATTCTTGCAACGAGTCACCCCCGAGGCCTGCGATTGCCCGCCCGGGCCTTGACTTCCCCTAGATGGCAGTGGGGGTGTCCGAAAGGATCCTCCTCCCCCATGGTTCCCATTTTTATTAGGACCCTGAGGTCCATGGTTCTCCCACTTCCTCTTCTTCGCCTCTTCGGCGTTCTTCAACTTTCTTTCTTCCCATTCCTTCTCCCCTTTCAAACCCTGCTCAACCACTTGGCTAAAGGTCATGTTAGGCAACTGTGTTGCCCTCTCACGCACCTCCAAGTCTAAGGCATCCCAGAAGTGATTTACCATCCGGTTCTCGTCACAGACATACTCCGGCATGAACTCCGCGAGCTCCCTGAATTTATGTTCAAGTTGCCTCACCGTCATCTTGCCACCTTGGGTTAGGAGGGTATACTCTCTCCTTTTAGCGTTCACCTCAAAATCAGAATAGTATTGGGCAAAGAACTCCTGTCGGAAATTCTCCCAAGTCACGGTATTGCCATACTTTCCCTTGGCTCCATCCCACCATGTGGACGCCATCCCTTCAAGCAATCTCACCGCCACCCTTAGTTTAAATTCGGGGGTGAGTTGCATATCAAGGGCTGCCTCGTTCAACCTCTTGATCCATTCCGCGGCGACCGAGATGTCGCCTGCTCCGTTGAAGGGTTTGCACCCCAAATCTCGTGCCTCTTTGATGTACTTGGAGATCCTTATGATTGGACCTCCATCACCCCGACCCCCGTGTGGTTCAACGTGGGCCCGAGAATCGCCATGGCTTCTTCCTCTTGAAGCCTCACCCGAAATTCGCCCTCCCCGGCACCTTCGGCGTTCCCTCCTTTCCTCGCGCTCCCGTTGATATTGTTGGAGCAGCGCCTCAATTCTTGCTAGGGAGTCATTCTCCCCCTCTTCATCACTTACATCATCGTCATCCCCTTCGTAAGGGGTCTCAACCGGCTTGGTTTCCGGTTGGTAAGTCGAGTCCTCATAGGACCAGTAGGTTTCACTTTCTGTGTCAACATGGCCGTCACTCACGGTCTGTGATCGGCCTCCACGGCCAGCTCCTCTAGATGCCCTAGAGGTCCTTCGACTGCCCTGTCCAGTCTCCACTGGTACACGGCCGGTCGGGTTTCTCCTAGTAATCCTGCCACCACGGTCCATTTCTGAAAGAATTTGGAAAGAGTCGTTAGACTCGTATCAAATGTCAATTGACGGATAGGTACTTAAGACACATTTTGGCTCGAGTCACCGCCATACCAATTGCTAAGGGTACCATCTTAACAATTAGAGACCTTGCAACCCAAGTACCAAAAGCTCTCCAAGTACAAAACTTCTATGCTCATGGTTTTCAAAATCTTTTCAAAAAGAGAATTTTGAGACTTCATTATGAAGTTTATGGACTAAGGCTCTGATACCAACTTAATTGTCACGCCCCGGACCTACCCGGACACGTCAACAACCCGCCGTACAATACGAATAGTCAACCGCAGTCCAACACATTCATATTATACAAGGCGTCATGAATATCATTCACACATATAACATCCATAAACAAACATAATAAGTAATTCATAACGCAGCGGAAAACATTGTTTAAAACAAAAAGGCCACACCGGGCTATTCATGAGCACGCAGGCTCTATAGTAAAATATCCATGAGCATGTTTATTAATGTTTAAAATCAGAATGGAGGAAGCACGAACCAAGTCTTCGCTCCTAGATGATCTCTCGAACAACGAGCACAGGAAGCAAGCTCTAGCCTCAACCTGAAAAATGGTGGTGGGACGCCCCCGAAGGGGTCAGCACTCTATAGGGCTATAAAGTGCTGGTGTGGATGGCATCTAATAGATATACAACAAGTATTTCAAACACAAGACCCTCAAATAGGGTGATAATATAATCTAGGCCGTAACCCCAAGTTACCCCTTTTTAAAATATACTTACTTTATATATAAAGTCAAGTAGTCGGCCCGTAGGCCCAAGGTTTGTTTGTCAAACATAGCCCAAACCCCGTGACCCCTAGTCACAACAATATATAGGGTTCAACCCTAACACATATATTTGCATTCTCGAGTCCAACTCGACTACATCACCATGCACCTTATTTAACACAAGTTAACTACTCCACCGTGCATTTCTTGAGTCCAACTCAACTACATCACCATGCACAACAATCACCCCATCATGTCTACCCAATGCAATTCTATGAGCACGGGCTCAAGTACATCTCCTTACATTGGCATAGACCCCAATTCCTAAGCACTCACTATGCCTAGAATTGCAATATCAATAATCTATTTTGGGACATCCCTACGGACTGCCCAACCATGGTCTTAGCATCACATTACATCAAATTTGTCACTTGCATCACAATCAAGTACATCAATTATAATCAAATCCTTAGATTCAATTTCCTTAACAATTACAACAATCATTAACTAGTATTTCAATACTATTAAGATTATTCTTATCCATCATATATTCCATTTGTAAAACCCTACATATTTAGAGATATGTAGCAGCAACTTAATCATTCAATGCAATACATAAATAATCATTTATGTATCTACACAATTCACACATGGGTAAAATGACTATTACACACAATAGTTCATTTAACTCCATTTTTATCAATACTTTACCAAATCATTTCTCATTTCATTCTTTGGAAAATAGATCAATATTCCATCAATAATTTATCATCATAATCCATGGAAAACATTATTTAGGCATTTAGGTAATCTCATGCTTAACCTACAAGTTGTAAGCAACTAGATGTCGATCCTCACCTCAATTGAGCTTTAAACTTTTCCTTCTTGATCCAATGGTCAAAGCTTTGGCCACGGTGGATTAAGAACTGATTCCTTGCTTGGAATTGAGTGTTAAACAGCCTCTTCAAAGTGCTAGTCCAACTCCTAACCGAAGACACAAAAACAGTCCCTAGAACGGGTGTTTCCCGACGAAATCGTTCCCTAACCTTTCAAGGTTTTGTCTAGATTAGTATCTAACTTTTCCAACAATTAAAGTCATTTTATAATAACATTTTATACACTTCAATCAGTGTATAATAGTTCTTCAATCATTTATATGGTTTAGACAATAGAGAGGAAGGTTTTGGATTCAAACTTACTTTGAATACAAAAACGTATTCTGCGAGGTCGTGTTTTGCTCGGTCGATTTGGAAGCCTTCCACTACTCCGATTGATGCAAACCAGACCTTCACGGATTCCTCGTCTTGAGAGCTTTCTTTTGGTATCTCGAACTCCTTATGTGGATGAGTAAATCTCAAGTTATGGCTCAAACAATCAGAGCTACGCACTGAAAAACGAACCTGCGGACTGCTCTCCTCCTTCCTTCCCTCTTGGGTTGTGTGGATTCCCTTGCTCTCTTATCTATTTGGGGGGTTCGAATGGGGTGTAGGAGGAGTGTATTAGGAGGCCTCAATCATGCTAAGAGAGCATGTGGTTCACAAAAAGAAGGGTAGGGTATTTGATTGCAATCAAACATGGTGTGGACCTCCTCTTTAATTTCCTTTTTGTAATGTTGTAGCTCATGAGTCAAAAGTCCGCCCCACATAGTTGTCTCACCCATTTTTCTTTGTCTTGTAGGTACTAATATCATGTGGAGTGGTTCCCAATTGATCCCAATCATTTTGGGGTCCAAAATATCTATCAATACTTTCAAAAATGGGAAGATGGGTCCTATAGTTTTATCTTTTGTCAAAGATGTCTTTTTGTACTCATCCTAATTTATTTAGAACAAGTCAACTTCCTTCATCACATTATTGATCTCCAATATGTGTAGGCTCATCTCAATAATTTACTTGATGGGTAATATAGAAGGAAAATCCTACTCCCATTATTTAGCTCAATAATGCCAAAGATGGGGTTATAGGCATTGGTACTCTTCTTTAATCATCCTATCACTTATTTTGACATTTGTCATTCATATTATTGGGCTACACGCCGTGTGGGTCGCCCCCGAGTGGGCCTACGACGCCATTCTCGAATACTTGTTATTTTAGCGGGTTGAGCCCAAAATAATATCTGGGCCGCCCGCCCTTTCTCAACTTGTCCTGAAACGTTATGTATCGCTACTAATATACGAGTTCGATCAGTACAATAATCGATCATTAATTACGTAAAACATTAATCGTTTTACAATCGTTTGGGAATCAGAAATCCAATACATAAACTTTGAATTTTAAAACTCAATTTTCAAGGACGTTTGGGTGCGGTGTCACAGTGTCATCCTTTTTTTTATGAAATGGCAGAGGTAGGTGGATTATATATCTAATACTACGTATTATTATTGTGCCACATGTAGGATGCACCAAGATGCCTCAAAATAAGGAGGCACCCAAGAGGCACCCAAAAAATAATGTCCACTCCAAAACAATAGCTTTAACAAAGATGGTGACATTTGAACTAAAAAATAAAAAATGGGAAAACCTATCGCCATAAAGTTAACTCATCTTTTTCATTAATAAGATTAATTTTAGTAAATAAAATTTAAAACAACATTATACAAGTTTTATAATACCTGATCAAGAAAAATTAAATTTGATAAAAGTTGAATATATAAAGTAATAAAAGATTAAGAACAATTAACGTTGACCAAAAAATAGTGAACGAGAACTTTTAAAGAGAAATTGTCCAATATAGGAGTAAACATAAACATAATTGCACAAATAGGAGTGAAACTTAAAACTTCCTTCAATAGAAGTAAACATTAATTTTGTACCCTTAATACCCCTAACCTAGTTAATTCTATAATATGACTTATTTGATCCTAATAAAATATAATTAAAAAAATCTAAAATACTTGAAAAACTATATTGAAATAATAAAAATTTTAAAAAAAAAAATTAAAAAAAATTTAAAATAAATAAAAAATAGATAAACCACATTAAAAAATATATAAAAAATTATGCAGGCCTTTCCGCAACCTCAGCCATCACCTAGCAATGTCACCTCCGATCGACGGAAAAAATGCCATTTTATGTTAAAACTTCCATTTTTCTTTGAAAATGTCATAAAGATGACAGTTTTGCTTTTTGAAAATGCCAAATTTTCTCAAAATCTGCCATCATGATGGCATTTCGGAAAAATGTTGGCAGTTTTTTTTGGTGGTCGGAGCTTGTGGTGCTGGGATGTTGTTGAGGCGGCGGCAGACGCCCACATATTTTTTTTTAGTTTTTTTTTATTTTAATTTTTTAGTTTTTTATTTAATCTTTTTTATTTTAATAATTTTTATTTTTATTAATTTTATTTAATACGAAGTATGTTTTATTTGATATGTTTTTGTGTTTTTTCATTTTTTTTACAATTTAATTATAAATTAATGTTATTCCTTTTATGTTTTAATTATTAATGAAAGTTGTTGGGGCTTAGGTAGGGATATACTTGTCTAAACACTAAATTTACTCTTATTCAAAATATGGTACTCCTATTTTTGTATTTTTCCTATCTTTTACTCATATTTGGGGAATTCTCTCACTTTTAAATGGGACGGAGAGAGTAGTATTTTTGTCCATAGTTCTTTTATTATTAATATTGAAGAAAAAATTCCTTAAAAGTTCCACCTAAGTTTTAAATTTAAAAATATAAATATAAGTAAATTATATTAAAAATGTGATTCGTATAGTATAAAACATAGAACTAAATACTCACTAGGTATTTATATTTTAAAATAAGTAATCGGAATCTCTGATTCCTACCGGAAGTATTGAAATATATTTTTTAAAAGAATGTAGTTTGGGTTTGCTTAAAAAAAGCGCTTTTCATTTTTTGGCTTAAAAAATTTGAAAAGAGTGTTTTCAAATGACAGCTTCTGCTTAAATTAATCACATAAAAGCTAAAAGCTGGAAGCAGGTAGAAGGGTGCTTTAAACTGCTTCTCACTTTTTCTATTACACAAAAAGTACTTATTTTACCAAACACTACCAACTTTTACTTTTCCAGAATCACTTTTTTCTCAAACACTACCAACTTTTACTATTAATCACTTTTCTCAAAATCACTTAAAAAAATCACTACACGTTCCGAATCCCCTATTTTACACTACACGTTCCCTTCTCCCGTGATTTGAGAAAACACCCCACAAAATGACAAAAGTGTGATGATTCCAAGTTAAACTGCGCGGAAGAGGCTGTTTGACCTTTTAACTCCATCATTCATGATTCATCAATGACGTGAACTTTATATTTTTTGTGACAACTCTGGTACCATTTTAAAAATTGTGGTATCGTACATATCATTCATTTGATTGGACCACATCACTTTATTATTTTTAATTTAGATTTAAATAATTCAATTGCTACATTCTCATTGATCCATCTGGACAAAGGTATAATACCTTATGAACCATAGAATCTATCATTTCTTAAAACTAGTCATATTTATGTTTTAAAAAGTAGGTGCTCCTATGCCGGTATCTAAGCAAAGTTTTGGTCCTACTTAACAACACTCGATCTCCTCTATATAAGGAATAAAGAATGCACCTGAAATTAACACTTTCATAATTGTATTCCATCTTAATTGCAATATATTCAACCTTTACCACGTAGGTAGGTGGAATAATTAAGCTAGATGAGCGACGACGACGACCGTTGTTGGAATGCATTTTATACCCTAATTGTGGTTGCTGTTATTGTTGTGATATGCTTTATCGCGTTTGCTCCGGCCCTACGCAATCACGACCTGAAGCCGCCGGATTTCGCCGTCATGAATGCGCTCATTCAAAATGGTACATTAAACGCCGCCGACGGCGCCACTCCTCTCTTCACCGGAACCTTCGACTTCACCCTCACAGCCAAAAACCCTAACAAACGCGGCACTACCCTTATCTATGCCTTCAACGCCACCCAAGTGAAAGTGGGTTTGGAGTACGACATATTTCTCATTGATGGAAGCGGTGCTTATAACCGGCAACGTCTACGCCACGGCTACGTCGACCTCGCGTCCACCGCCGCCGCCATGGTTCCGCCGTTCAACCAGACCGGCGGGAACGTCACTACTCTCCCGCTCTCTCTTCAGGCTAATGGCGTGGCGCTTGACGGCAACGCCACCATCACCATCGAGGCACAAAAGAATGCTTCGACCGCCATCTTCGCGACCATTGAGGTGAACGCTGTGATTCTGATTCAGAAGGGTGACTCCGAACCCAAACCTCGCGGGCTTCTTGTCAGATGTGACGCTGTCTTCTCGTACAGTTCTTCCCCACAGCAGAGTAGTAATGATGACGAGCCGGACTGCAGATCACACTTGTGCTCCGGTTCCAACTTCAACTGCACCGATGAGTTTTAACAATTGTGATCTGCTTGTCTGATCTCATATATGTTTGGTTGTGTGTTTTTTAATTTTCAAAAATTGATTTGGATTGTTAAGTCTAGTCCGTTCTGATTTTGTCAATGACAACATCTTTAATTGTTGAGTTAATTCTCTATATAAGGAAAAAAAAGTGACCCAAAAGTACAAATAAGACTACATGTTTTTTATTCCCCTAGTAGGACTATTTTATGTGTGCTTGCACAAATGGCAGATTCAATGAAATTTTGACATCATATCATGAAGAGTAATTATGTCATTTTCTTGACATTTTCGGGAAAAAATGGATTTTTTTTATAAAAAGAGGTAGAATTTTTACCGATTGAAGGTGGTGATGTTGGGAGGCGGCGGGAAAGGTATCCATATTTTTTTAAAATTTTTTATGATTTTTTAGTTTTTTTATTCATTTTTTTATAAAAAAAACTCAAAAAAAAATACTCCGTATTTTTTAATTTTTAATTTTAAAAATATTTTTTATTTTATGATTATTTTTTACGATTTAAAAAAAATATGATTTTTTACTATTTTTATGACTTTATTATGCATTATAACATGTTATTATGAAATAATACCCTTAGGGGCATTTCTAGTAGGAATGAATTGTTTGTCCTATTTTGGATAGTAAAAAAAGTAATGATCCTATTTGTGTTTTTTTAGTTATTTTTGATCTTACATAGAGTAATTACTAGGAATAATGACAAAAATAATAGTTGAGGCATCTGAATAGACAAAAACGGGACCCGATTTTAATATAGACAGTAAGGAGACCAAATTTATCTGAATGGACCGAAATACCCCTGCAATTAAAAAACCCTACACTCTCCAGATCTCCCGATCAGCCGTAACCAGCTTCTCTCTACATACATGTCTTGTGCGTTCACCGCCGCCTCCCCTCCGCAACTTCTTCGTCGTCGCTTCTCTTCTTCTCAAACATTCACCGTTGTTTCACTGCACCAAGGGAGTCGGCCGGTGACTTCGTCAGTTGATGGAAGACGAATGATGGACGGCGAATTCGGTTGATGATGACGGTGATGAGGATTTCACGGTCGGCAGAAGGCGGTGATGACAATCGGTGACGACATGTTTTCTTCACCGTGTTGGAATCCAGATTTAAAGCGACTAGGGTTTCCCACTCCAGATCGGGGTGCGATGGCATTGGGGATTGCTAGGCCAAGGTTTCTCACGAGGCGGGATTTGGGACAAGGGGAGGGATATTGGCTTTGTAGCAGTCACCGCTGGGGGGGCGGTGGTCGGGGCTGGACATATGGAGAGCGGGATGGGGCTGGGGAAGCTGGGGAGAGGTTGGAGAAGGGGTTTGGAGGCTGGGTTCATGCATGGGCTAATGGTGGGGGCTGGGGCTGGGGCTGGGGCTGGGAGGGGCTGGGCTGATGGGGCGGCATTGTGGTCACTGGTGGGGCATCAGGGTGGTCACAGCTGGGTGGGGCAGCAGGGTGGGGTAGCAAGGGTGGTCACTTGGTGGGGTAGCAAAGGTGGTCACCGGAAGGGACAGGGAAGCATGGGACGGGCGTACAGGGCATCGGCGGTGGTCACTGGCGGGTGACCGTTTTAACTGTGCGGGTGATGGAGGACTAGACGGATGGACTGTAGTTTTTGAACAATGTTGGTCACTGGACGAGATGTAACTGTTGTTAATCACTGTGTTAACGGCCACTATATTAATTGGTCACCGAGCGGAAGTCACTATATCAATTGGTCATTGGACAAAAGTCACTGCACATTTGGTCACTGTGATGCATGTCATTGGTGGGACTTATTAATTTTTTGTCACTGGATGAATTTTGTAACTATGTCATTGGTAACTGTATAATTAGTCACTGCACATTTGGTCACTGTGACAGGTTACTGTAGCAAGCCAGTAGGTTTGGGCTTAGTAAGGGTGTAACAGTCTCTTAAGTATTGTTTAGTCTTATTTTTGGAACTTAAAAGAAAAGTCTCTTTTTTTGTCTGAATGCTTTTAATTAGTATTATTTGAGGACAAACCCCTAATTACTATTAATTGTTACTCTAATTGAAAACAAAACTATTTTTTAGCTTTTTAATTAATTGGTTAAACTCATTACAAATAGCTGATTTTAATTGAATATATTTGTCACAGTATATCACCTAAAGTCAATGTTCCTTGACGTACAAAAGGAGCAGAACATTACAAGTTTGCAACTACAATACTATTGTTGCAAGAACTTTTTGAATTTTGTTCAAGAACGTATTTTGTACGTTATTTGGGAACATTGGTTTAAATGTGCCTACTTTCCTGGTTAAAGGGAAAATAGGCTTTTGTGATCCCTGAATCTAAAAAACTTTACCAAGAGTAGTCATAATGGATGGATTTGTAAATCTTTATTATTTAAATAGATTAGTTCAATTAGTTTCATTTCAACTAGTCAAAATCGAAAAAATGAGTATATAGTGACATCATGTGTATACATATAGAGGTGAAAATTTGTAATTTATAAGGAAATAGTATTTCTTTGAAAAGATAAGGAAATAGTAATTAAGATGGAAATTAGTAGTTAAATGAAATATCCTTGTTTTGTAATGGAATTATTTAATAGTACTTTGCTCCCCTTACATTTATAGTAGTACAATTGTGAAATTTCAAATGTTATGTAGTACAATTATAGTAGTTGGACGACCCAGACTATGAACAAGTTTTTGGTAGTGATGTCGAATCATCCACTAGCGATGACAGCGACGAGGCAATAGAAACCACATAGGCCAATGTGGAGCTAGACGAGCCTCATGTAGTCGGTACGCTACACAGTTTATATGGTGATGCACTAAAAGAAGTCATGGCCAAAGAAAACATTTGTCAATACCGATTTTTTCGAACGGATGACAAAAGTGCAAGGCATTGTACATCAAGCTGAGCTTATGCGCGCACTTGCCATATCCAAACAGGAGAAAGTCGGAACTTACAGTTGTGGAAAGTGAAAAAATATCAACCCTTCCACAATTGTAGATTGGTCGGATAGATTATGCAACAATTCGGGATGAGAGGATCTTGACGGCCAAGATCATAGCAGTGAGATCGCTCCTAAAGTGCATCTGGATCCAGACTATAGCGCCAAACTCATAATGCAAGACATTTATGAGAAATTTCAAATCCATGTTGGATACAAAAAACCTTGGTACAACCACTTGATCGTTCTTGAGTGTAAATTCAGCATTTGGTCTAGGAGACACTATATACTGCATTTTCTAAGTTGTTGGAAGCAATAAGAGTTTCAACTACAGAGAGTCTTGTTCAAATCCAAACATAGGCGGATGACACTCTTGCGACGTACGAATTATGCCAAGCGTTCTAGTCATTTAACAAATCTCCAACTTATATGTCTAGAGTTTTCTTGAATTGAATCATATATAATTTTCTTTAAATTGTACTCTCTAATAGTGAAATTATTTTTAGTTTCAACTACATTTTATTTGGAATTGGCCTTCAACGCGTGTTAACTATGTTTGTACAATAAGCTGAAAAACTTCATATAAGGCTTGATCCCTCCAAGTCTTGCTAATAGTAATTATTTAGATCCTTTAAGAACACACCTTCACATTGTGAATTGTGATTGGTTGAATCGGCTATTAAATTAAGTAATAATCCGAGTTTAGTCCACTATAGTATTTGCCTTATATACAGTGGACACAAGGTGTAAGACCTTGTGTAAGAACATTTTTTTCTGAACCGGATGTCCAAACTTAGTCCGGACGATACCTAATCGGATTCCTAACAAAACAATAAACAATTAGATATATACACACACATAAGGCTTTAGTTTGTGATCTCTTCTATTAACACAATAGCTCATTTAATTATTACTCCATCCGTCCCAATTTGATCATCTCATATTTCCTTTCTAGGTCGTCCCAAATTGATAGTCCTCTTTCCCTTTTTGGAAAGAAATATGTGGTCCCCATCATTTAAGCTTTTTCTACTCAAATCTCAATCACAACTTTTACTTTTTCAATCACTTCCTTAATCTGTGAGCCCAAAAGAAATGGGACCATCAAATTGGGACGGAGGGAGTATTATTATATGAGATTTTTACACAAATATTACCATTAATATTATGGGTTACAAAAAAGTGACCAATGATAGGAAACACGTTCTGCAACGTGAGAGTAAGTTAAGGCAAGAAGTTATAGTTTTGTTAGTTGAGTTTAAAATGGTTATATTTGTGTAATTTTTTCTTATTATATATACAAAGCATTTACATTGTAAAACCTCCAAGCATCTTACTCATAATCATGTTCATACCCTTTCCCATTTGGATATTGAAACTTCCTTATCCGAGTTAAAGTTGAATGAAGGTTGGAAACATGAGAAATGTGTTCATCTTCAAGGGTCGTCATTGTTCCATTGGAATCTCTTTTCTCACTTCTGTATCATCACATACAATCTTTGGTGTACTGTTCAGGCTTTTAGGTGAATCATTTGAACTCTTTGGTGTGTTGAGTAGTGCTTCTTTGATCAGCTCAATGGGACGATGTGTCTTGAGACTTAGCCGGTTTTGCAACTTCTTGATGTCATGTGAAATGCTCTCCTCACCTTTTAGCATTTTTTCAACCTGTATGCCATATGCTCAAAGACATAAAGAATATGCATTTGTATTAGGGCTGGGTCCGAAAAATCGAAAACCGAATCAAATTAAATCGAATCGCGACCAAATAAAACCGAACCGCTAAAAACCAAAACCGAATGTAAAAAATCGAACCGAACCGTAGTAGTTTGGTTTGGTTTTGGTTTTTACCCTTCAAAACCGAATCGAACCGAACAAACCGAACAAAAATAAAATATGAAATTTTATTTGTTAAATGTAATCATTAATCTTAATATCATCAATAATCTTTGAATTTCTTGAGCTAGAGAAATAATTTTTGTGCTATGTTTAGTTTAGTTTATAAATGCATTTACACATTCATTGCTCATAATAATGTAACTATATTGATCTATTATGTCTTTTATGTATGCACATTGCAATTTGATGCATGATTATATGTTTTTACTGGTTATTAGTAGTAATTAACTTTTATTTTTATGTAACTTATTTTTTTGTTAACTTAAATTTTTTATATTGATAAAACAAATAAATATTTATCTCAGCTATATCACATAGGACGTATGTATTCATAAACTTTTTTCAAACTAATCACAAACAATGTAAATTATTGTTCAAGTATCTCTCCCGCATACTCATATAATTCATGACATATTTGTTTTTTTTCGTGACATATTTGTTTATTATTATTTTCTTTATTTGTTCATGTATGCTAGCATAAATTTTTATGTAATATGTTTGATCCCTCCAACTTTTATATCAATTTTAAATCAAATGACACATTTTCAGTAAAAAACCGAAAAAACCGAAACCGAACCGAAACAAACCGAACCAATCAAACCGTGGTTCCAAGTTTTGGAGTGTAAAACCGAACCGAAACCGAATAGAACTTTTACTTTGGTTCCGTATTTGGTTTTAGGTCAAAACCAAACCGAAAGAACCGAACCCACCCCTAATTTGTATAAATGTAAACCGAAAGAACCGAACCCACCCCTAATTTGTATAAATGTAAAGATATTGCTGGGATGGCGAACCACTTGCTTGGTTTATCAACCACATCTGAGCCCCCCTCCTCAATGTGGCCTCACCGTCGCACTGTATTCACCATTGCTGACTTTACCGCAACATCTCTATTGCATAATGATGCGGTAACTAATGACCAAAGGTGCAATGGAGATGTGTTCGGGTGCATGGTTGATGTGACGATGATAACATGGGGTCATCATCAACGGTAGGCAATGCCATCACGATGCAAAAACCACCATAATTTGAAAAATAAGTTTAAACTTATCCTAATTTGGGAAATAGGCTTCCAAACCACCTCATTTTCTAGTAAAGACTAACTTATTCAAAGTATTGAAGGCAATAAGGGATCAATTAATCTAACAAATAGTGTAAAAGCTACTCCCTCCGTCCCCTTAAGTTTGTCCCGTTTTACCTTTTTCGTTCGTCCCACTAAGTTTGTCTCATACCATATTTGGTAACATTTGAGTGGTTAGAATTCATTCTTACTTTATTTACACTTTATCAATTCAATACCAACCACACAATTCCACTTTTTCTTAAAAACCACACCACACTCCTCCGTCCCAAACTTAGGGGGACGGAGGGAGTACTTTTTTGCTGAAAATTAAGTGAAGCGGAGAGAAGTGAAGCTTTTGCATTCTTCCTTTAATAGTCTAAAGAAACTATTTTAAGTATATTTGTGATCATTTGCTATTTGAGACACCTTTCATTATGCTTTCAGTAATGTACACTTCAGTCTTTCAGCATTTCAACCAAATTTTACACTCGCAACCCTGGCTTGGGATGATTATTTGCAGAGGTGGACTTGAAAATTAGACCAAAAAAGAAAGAGAGTTTTATTGTATCATAATTAAAAGCATGCCTTGCTCATTGGAGGCCGGTCTGCGGAAGATTGTTGTAAGCACAGAGAAGCTACCATAGACATGTCCTTCATCTGCTCCAAGTCATAAGAACCTTCTAGTGCTGGATCAGCCAACTCCCCAAAACTTTTCTTCAGTAGCAGCGGTTTAGCCTTCATGTGATAGTTTATTCTTTTTTCAATACAATATATCAAATTCACAACCATCGAAGCAATAACACATATTACAAACGTACCCACATCACCACACTGTTATTAGATTGGTCAAGAGCAGGGCGACCAGAAATAATCTCCAGCAGCAATACTCCAAAAGCATATACATCAGTTTTTTCATCAACAACTCCATGCACAAAGAACTCTGGAGGGAGGTATCTGCAATCACAAGCATTAATAACTTTAAGAAGCTCTATAGTGAACAATAGCTGTAGATAAAATTAAGAAGAGTGCAAAAAAGGTTCTACTGATTCAACCAACCCAAATGTGCCTTCAAACTGAGATACTGTGAGGTGACTCCACTTATCTGGGAGCCATTTTGCAAGCCCGAAATCAGATATCTACAATGGACTAAAAATTAACCATCAAAGATTCACATTACTATTGTCTTCACCAAAACTTCATATCACATGACTAGCAGTGTAGCACTGTGATACATAAGTAAAAGACTCCTAAAGCTCTTCCCTGTGTCGATAATAGATTCATTCATATCTTATTATTATCTTGTGATGATTGTTTGAGGTTTAAGGTTTGGAAAGTGAGTCAAGAAAATGTAATGTGTGAAGATTAAGAATCTGATGGCCTTTGTGTTTAAAAGCTAGTACTTTTTAGCAATTCTACTTCTAGTGCTACTGTTGGATTTGGTCAAAACTACTCAAAGTGTTATGGAACAGAAGCAATTTTAGGGCCATATGCTGTTCGATTTGGAAAAATAAGGAAGACCAGTTTTTTAATGCATGTTTTCATTATGTTATGGTTGTACTTTACTATCTAAACATCACTCGTAAATAAAAGCACTTTAAGAAACGGATCATTCTTACAACATTCAGGTTTTAAATTTCTTTTAGTTGTTATTCGTATTCCAAAATCTAGGCTACATGGAGCCGAAATTGAAAACGAGGTGAAATATCCAATGGCTTAAGTGCATGTCTCTGACTCTAGAGAAAAAATCATTTTATGATTTATTTGCTAAAAAGTACCTGAGGTTGAAAGTCCTCCGAGAGCAAAACATTAGATGCCTTGATGTCTCTATGTATAATTCTTCTATGACACTCCTCATGAAGATACGCAAGGCCAGAGGCAGTCCCTAAAGCAATATTATATCTAAGGCACCAAGATAGTTTCTCCTTTTGATCCCTACCTATTAAAAACAAAAATGAATACCTAAATTTGGTTAGTTACAGTATTTGAAAGCTTAGACAGCAGAGAGTAATTTCTTATAGAAACAAGAAAATGAATGTATTGACCATCAAGAAGAGTTGCTAAGCTCCCATGAGGAGACAAAGGAAGTACAAGGTACATTCCCCCTTCAACTCCATACCCAATAATATTAGCAATGTTGGGATGATTGACATGTACCAAAATTCCAAGCTCTGATAAGTAGTCTGATGTCATTTCCTCAGGGTTTCCCCTCATCAGCCTTTTAACTGCCACTGGCCTCCCATCGTCCAAGTGTCCTTTGTAAACTTCAGAATAACCTCCCTTCCCAATCAAATGTTCTAAATAGTAATGGCACATGAATATATTGCATCACCAAAATGTTCTTTAGGTCACTACAGTGCTCAAATCACAATTCAATATAATGTCATCTTAACAATAAGGTTATGTTGGATCCCAGGAAATGCCAAGATAAAAAGTGATGAGGGAAGATAATTTCTTTTGTTAAGATTTACCTTAGAAAATGCAAAGAAATTAAATATAGGTTTAAATATGTTTTTAGTCCCTGCAAATATAGCATACTTTGTTTTAGGTCCTTGCAAAATATTTTCTTTATTTTTCATCCCTGAAATTTATGTTGATTTTCTTTTTAGTCCATGACTACTGACAACAACCTCCGTTTGACAACGAAATAATCCCGACTAACAGGTATTCTTTAATTCTTTGTCATGCCAATCAAAAAATATTTAATTTCATTTTTTAAAAGGTTTTAAATACATATTTTAAAAATGCAAATAATTAGTTTTAATATTGTTTTAACTCTCTTATTAGCCTAAAAAAATTATAAACTGATAAATTTAAATGTTTCCAATAGATTTATGCAACTGATAATAAAAAGTTCTAAGTAGAGTTGTTTCAGAGTTAGAGATGGACTAAAACCAAGTAGCACATATTACAGGGATGAAAAAAAAATATTTTGCAGGGACCAAAACAAAGTGTGTCATATTTGCAGGGAATAAAATCATATTTAAACCTTAAATATATAGTAATGTTTGAATCTCTTTTACATGTTTAGATTCCAAATATTTATATAATACAACTGTAGTAAATGAATCAAAATAAATTCAAAAAAATAGTAAAATAAATTTGTTGAGTTTTAACCAATATTTTATTTTCCCTCGCCATTTTCTTTCCTTCCATACTTTTATATATTTTCTACCCCATTTTCTTTTGCCAGCATTTCCCATGTTCCAAATGTATCGTAAAGGAACATATGTTAGAAACTTTAAGATGAAATTCCCAAGACTTGAAAGCACGGTTTTTTAACACTACAGGTGTTTTTGGATAACGAAAATGGAAAGGAAAAAATGCTAATGAGTAAATTTATTTTCTTGTATCGGCCTCGCCTCGGAAAAAGAGAAAGAAAATGAAATATGATTAATATTTATAGGAAAAATTGAAAATAATAATCCCAAGTATTGCCGGTCCGCTAACAATAATCCCAACTATTGATTATTTTTGTATAATCCCAACTATATGGACCATCCGCCAATAATGGTCCATGACCAAATATTACCTTCTATAAAAGTGAATTTTAAATATAAATTAAGCGTAAAAATTAAAAGTTGAGATTATTTTTAGAGATTACTTGCTATATCTCTTCTCATCCACTTCAAAAAGTACATGAATTTATTTACAGGGACTGTTATTGGCGGAAGGACCCTAGAGTTGGGATTATTCTAAAATAATCGATAGTTGGGATTATTATAAACGGACCGCCAATAGTTGGGATTATTACAATCAATTTTTCCTATTTATAAATAAATAAATAAATAAATAAATAAATAAATAAATAAATAAATAAATAAATAAATAAATAAATAAATAAATAAATAAATAAATAAATAAATAAATAAATAAATAAATAAATAAATAAATAAATAAATAAATAAATAAATAAATAAATAAATAAATAAATAAATAAATAAATAAATAAATAAATAAATAAATAAATAAATAAATAAATAAATAAATAAATAAATAAATAAATAAATAAATAAATAAATAAATAAATAAATAAATAAATAAATAAATAAATAAATAAATAAATAAATAAATAAATAAATAAATAAATAAATAAATAAATAAATAAATAAATAAATAAATAAATAAATAAATAAATAAATAAATAAATAAATAAATAAATAAATAAATAAATAAATAAATAAATAAATAAATAAATAAATAAATAAATAAATAAATAAATAAATAAATAAATAAATAAATAAATAAATAAATAAATAAATAAATAAATAAATAAATAAATAAATAAATAAATAAATAAATAAATAAATAAATAAATAAATAAATAAATAAATAAATAAATAAATAAATAAATAAATAAATAAATAAATAAATAAATAAATAAATAAATAAATAAATAAATAAATAAATAAATAAATAAATAAATAAATAAATAAATAAATAAATAAATAAATAAATAAATAAATAAATAAATAAATAAATAAATAAATAAATAAATAAATAAATAAATAAATAAATAAATAAATAAATAAATAAATAAATAAATAAATAAATAAATAAATAAATAAATAAATAAATAAATAAATAAATAAATAAATAAATAAATAAATAAATAAATAAATAAATAAATAAATAAATAAATAAATTAATAAATAAATAAATAAATTAATAAATAAATAAATAAATAAATAAATAAATTAATAAATAAATAAATAAATATAAATACCGGAGTAATATATTTATTAAGCTTGAACTGATCCTCTATTTCCTCCCACAATTTCTTTCCTTATAAAGTTCCCTTTTATTTTCCTCCTGATTTTCCTTCTCTAGTATTTCCCAAGTTACAACAGACTTTATTGAAAAAAGCAATTGATAATAGAGTATACCAGGGTTAAAGTTGTATGTCACTTTCTCAAGTTCTGATAAGGAGAAGACCTTCCAGGATGTCTCCAAGAAATGAGGAACTACATCAGGATCAATTTGAGGTAGTACCATGTTTTTCCTACTTCTTTTCTTGGAATGCTTCCTAAAAGAGTAGAGAGAGGGATGGAAGGTTTGCAAACTCACTCCTGGCAGTGGCGGATCCAGGATATAAACTTATTGGGGGCGGAGTAATTAAAAAATGCATTAGTAAAAAATTATCGAAGTATTAATGTAATATTACAATATCAAAAGATTTGATAAAAAAAATACGAAGTATATCACTATTGTTCGCGCCAAATTTTCGTTTAATTTGTAACAGTTTCAATCACGTCTATTCGATAAAACAACTTAGAAGATCACTCACAAAGTTATCACGAATCTATTATACAAATTAGTCTTCACTATTTCATATGGTTGTTTAATTTTTACAATTGGTAAAGTCAATGCTCATTTTAAGAGCTAATACACAAAGGATGTAAAAGATCATCGAGACTTTTCAAACTAGCAAACATTTCATTGCTAACACATTATATTTTAAATATAAATACTTAGTTGATGTTGATGAGTTTAACTTTCCATACAACTAAAGTCACTTGAATAAGATTCGGCCAATCTAATCGACTTTGATGTGCCAATCTAATCTAACCAGATAGTAGTTCATTTTATTTAACTATCTAAAATTAAACATATTATATACATTTAGGATTTTTTAACTTACTATATGACACTTTCCATTTTGTAAGTGTAAATTACTATACTCTTGTAGATGTATAACTATTTCAGTAACTTATTCATCATCATCATTACAATAGGGCCTCAAAGGCTCCCACCTACGGTGGGGTAAGGGGGGTCGGATGTACGCAGCCTTACCCTTGCACTAAAGCACAGAAAGACTGTTTTTGGATGACGCTTAGTGAAAATCGCATCGAAAATTACAAAGAAGCGCTGATAGTTTAGTGAGTCATTTTGCTTTATTTCAATAACTTATTAATTAAATTAAATATAATTGATATAAATCAATAATCTGTAATAAATTAATAACATTATAATAAGTTTATTGACATTTTTTAATATTTATATTTATATAAAAATTAAAAATAGAATATGGCCTTATGGTAAACACCACCACCACACATATACGGATTACCTGTTAGCTAGGTACTAAACAAGTACATAGGGTATTAACCAACTTTCAAATTGACACTTGTGTGATACATAATACAGTAATTCGAAATAAATTCAACATCATACCAATTACCGTAGTGGGGCTAATATCTTCAATTCACCGTCTTGTGGGGAGGAACCTTGTTTATTGGGGGCAATCAATTATTTCTATTGGGGGCAAATGATTAGGCTTCTAATATTTATTAGTATATAATAAAGGTTTAGTGGGTTGTTATTGGGGGCAGCTGCCCCCCCTATTACCTTACTAGATCCGCCCCTGACTCCTGGTCCTTTTTTTAGTTTCCTAAAAAACTCATACCACTGGGAATGTGTTTTCCCATCAGAGTTAGTAATAACACCATTCAAAAAACCGTTATTTGAACTTGTTCTTTGAGCTTCACTCAAAAGATTTACTGTCATCTCCTCCTTTGCAAGCTCTGCATCATTATCCTCCTCTTCAAGAGTTTCTAAAGCTGGCTTGTCAACCTCTTCGACATCTCCTTTTGTCAAGTTTAAGACCTCCTCCTCGGTTTCTATAATGAGGCCTTCTTCTGTATGGTTCTCCTCTAGTTTTAAGCATTGCATCTCTAAGAAAGCATTGTTGTAAAACTACTACCTAGCATAGCCACTAGCCTCTCATTGGAATCCTGAGGGTCTGTTTGCAATGAAGGTTTACTCGATATCTTGATAAATAGAATTGCTTCTATAGTCAAGTAAAAGGCAAATGAAATGTAATACGATTAATCGATCACATATTATGCTAATATTTCAACTTTTATTGTGCAAATAGATCCCACCTAAATACGAAGAACTTGTGCTTATTGCTATGATAAGTCTCTCATCTTGGAGGTGCCCTAGTGTTTCTTATAAGGCATTGGTTTAGGTTAATTGAAGGTTCTTTGACAAGAAAAATAAAATTGTAATTTTCCATCCTATACAAGTAATTCAGGACTAGTTCTTCCATTAGAATCAATACAAAAAAGTCAAAAACAGAATTACAATGGATGGAAATATTAAACTCTACCTTCAACAGTGAGTGATATGGAATTGCAAAAAAGTAGTTTAGGTTCAATTTCAATCATTCCAGCACCTTCATTTTCTTCAGCTGCATCGCTGGAGCCCTCGCTGCGAACATTAAACTACTTAATCCAACTTATTGATAATCAGCCAAATAATGAAGAAAATAATTCAAATTCACCTTTTTCATACTACAAATCTAGAATTTTCAAGGGTGTTTAAATCAATGATTAAAGATTGCAATTTGCAGCCAATATGTTATGAATTTTTCGATAAATCGATTGTGTTCTTTTAAAAGCACTCAGCATCCCCAAATGACAAAACACCACATCAAAGGCTATCGATCCTTTCAGATGATTCATTAACACGAAACAAGAATTGCTGTCATATAAAGAAAATGGAACACTTTAATGCATATGAAATTAAGGCGTGGAACCAGAAAAATACCATGGAGATTGAGAAACTGAAGATTCAGCATTTCCCATTTCTCCTCAAGGGCAGCGAAAACAAACAAACGGTGTCTTCCTCCTAGGAAACAGATTTTTTTAGGTCACAGGAGAAGAAAAAAGATTGGAATTTGCAAAGGGAAAGGAGTAAAATGAACGAGAACCAGTGACAAAAACATTGGCTCTCATACCAATTTGGGTTTGGCGGTTGTTAGAAATAGGATCTCCTTGAAAAGGAAATTTGAAAAAATAGCCATGCAAGTTTTCATTCTTTCTCCATACTCCACTTTTTAGCAAAACAAAAATCTATAATTGGGCTTCTTATTTATTTTAAATTGCTTGAAATTATACTCTGTACATGGCAATTCTCGACTTTGATATTTTTGTTTGGCAGACGACACAAAGCATTTAAAATTCATATGGTGACTCTATTATAATGTAAATGCTTCTGGTGTCTATATAATAGATACGAGTACAAAAATTATCATTTTTTTACATTAGTAGTTTATTTTAAAAAATAATTACATAAATGTGATCAAAATAAAGATGGTTTACGAAAATATAATTAGTTATTACTAGAGTAATAATGAAATTATAGTAATTTATGATGAAGTTTTGAAATTAAATTACCACAACACTACTATGTATTAATGAATAATCATATTTCTATAAATAAGTTATATTTTAATAATATTCTTGTAAAAAACCCGCATAATACACACATTATCAGATATTATTATATAAATAGTTGAAATAGTTATAATGCCCAGAAGATTTCACAAAATCAATACGAACACTAATTTTTATTATATAATTGAAAGTACCTATTGTTATATTTTGACAATACCGTCAATGATACGAATAGTGTGTTTCCTTTTGAATAAATTTTTAGAATAATACTAATGTAATCCTATTTTAAAGATTAACATACTATTTCTATTTTGAAATTTACATGTTTTTATTCATATTTCTGGAATTTTTTCCATTTATACACCCCAATTCAGCTTAAAAAAATACACTTCTTTCTTTAATTATAAATAAATAAATAAATAAAAATATATTAAAATAAAATAAAATTGCTAATAAACTTGTGGTAAAATAGAATATTAAAGTCCAAATTAATAGACTAATATATTTAGGAATCTGTCTAATATATATTTAGGAATCTGTCTAATATCTATTTAGGAATACTTTGTATTTGACAACTCCTCTATTATAAATATATAAGAAATTGTCCTAAATAGGACTAAAACATGGTTAAAATTCCAAAACAGGACTTGAAGTTTATTATTTCCTAAATAGGACACTGATTACATTTTTGCCCTTCCTTTAATTAAACCCCGGAATACTTCGCCGATCCAACACCCATATGCGCAGACCCATCTGTGAATCTGTGATAAAGAAACCCAGATGCGCAGACCCAATCGCTGACTCCGATGAAGCCAGGTAAATTTCTCGATCTCCTTTCTCTTCTCCTTCTCTTCTTCTTTTCTCCTTCTCTTCTCTTCTCTTGTCCTTCTCTTCTCTTCCACTCTTCTCTTCTCTTCTCTTCTCTTCTCTCTTGTACGACTCTGGTCCTCTGGTTCCTATTTTTTTTCACTTTAACAATTTCTTACTTTTGGGATTCTACACAAATTATTTTGATTTTGAGATTTTGGAAGAGATTTTGTTAACAATTAGATGAAAAATTAGGTTGCAACGCTCGATCAAGTGTAGATCTCAATTTTTATTTTTTATTTACCAATTTTGATTAATTATGAATTGAGAATGACATAAAGAAAAGTACTTAATAGGAAAAATGTCACTTTTAATGCATTACATCTATAAAGATGACAATATTGCTTTGGAATTACAAAAATGTCATGTTTTTGCCAGTTTGACAAAAATGTCACTTTTGAATCACAAAATGTCATAGTTATTGGTTATATTTGAAAAAAATGTCACTTTTATGTCAATATGTTTTGAAAATGGCAATTTTAAAAATGTCATGTTTTTGCCAGTTTGACATTTGTGTCATATCAAGTGGCATTCTCGATGGAGGTTGTAGGGACTTGCCGAAGAGCGGCGGCTTCGTTGGAGGATGGTGGCGGCGAACTCTGCTAAGGCGGCGGAGGCAGCGGTCCGCTGAAGGACACACTGGTGTGGTACTGGAGGATGGTTGAATTGCGGCATAGACCTGGAGATAGGAGGATGGCTGGGATGCGCAATTTACTCGCAAATGTTACGGCAGTTCAACACTGGGGAGACTATTTTTGTCCAAACACAATTATTTAATCCTACTTAGGGAATTTAAAACAATAGGTCCTATTTTTGCATTTACTTCATCTTTTACTCCTATTTTGGTAAATCTCTCTAAATATATCTGTCAGGACTCCTATTGGACTACCTCTTTCTCATTATTTCACATGGTATCAAGAGCTCTAGGTTTGTAGATACAATTTTTTTTCTTTTTTTTCGGTTCCCATGAACCTTATTATAGTCACTGCCGCCTCGGGGTCGACTACCGCCACATTTACGGTAGTCTCTGATCCTTTGAAGATGAGCGCGGCTAATATGGCACAGATCACCTCCTTCGCGTCGTTGAACACGGTGCTTGCTTCTAGCGTGCCGTTGAGTTCGCCGCCTGCTGCTGCCTATGTCCGCGCAGCCCACATTCTCTGTGTCGCTGACCACGGTGCTTGCTTCAAGCGCGCTGTTGAGTTCGCCGCTTGCTGCTCCAGACATATATTCTCATGGAGATCATATTATCAAAGATGTGTCTTCTAATCTTCCGCTCACGGATATATTTACTAAGAGTTTTTTTTAGTTTGCAATTTCATTTTTTAAAGGTCAACCTGCGCGTTGTATCTCCCGCACAGTTTGAGGGAGTGTAATAGACTAATATATTTAGGAATCTGCCTAATACTCCCTCCGTCCCAATTTGTAAGATACATTACGGTTTACGATGTTTGACTGATGATAAAGCAAACTGATCCCTGACAACACTCAAATTAGTTCTAGAAAATAAAATTTACATATTCATAAACTACATTAAAACCGCTACAAAACCTGCAAAAAATAATTCAAATTTCATAAACTTTTAATATATAAAATAAAAGATTAAGATTGATTTATGTTGATCAAGTGAATAGTAAATGTATCATACAATTTGGGACTGAGGGAGTATATATTTAGGAATCTGTCTAATATCTATTTAGGAATACTTTGTATTTTGGCAACTCCTCTATTATAAATATATCTATCAGGACTCCTATTCCTATTGTAGTACCTCTTTCAATTCCCATTATTTCACACAAATGAAAAATAAACAAGTCATAAATACCGTCTTATACCTTTAACTGAAAACACACTAAACCATAAAGACACAGTCACATGTAACATTTTTTTATTGTTGCTTCAAAGTTCAAACCTAATAACTTCCTTAGACTTGTGTCTTATATAGAGTAATAGATTACTAGGTGCATGAATATTACTAAATTAATTCAAAACATAAAATATGACTTATTTTTATATTTTTCAAAAAAGTGAAATATTTAGTGACCCATTTGTGGTGACTCGTCATCTACAATGACATGTCTTTCTAAAATACATTATGGTGACTCTTGTTTAGTTACGTGTACGTGTACACGGTAATTAATCATACTTTTATCCAAAAACTTAACTATTCATATATATTTGTTTGAGGAAACTTTAATAATATACATGCCATTTTTTATAAATTATTTAGGAAAGTTGGACGTCCAATAAAATAAGAACAAATTTTTTCGAACTTTATAAAGCAAATACTAGTTGAATAATAGGTTAGATGCAAAATTGCGAACTCAAAACATAGGTTAGTTTTGCAATTTGAGGAATTTTCTCCGGAATGTATAATGCACTTTCCAGCAAAGCTTAGAAATAAGAAATCAAGTACGATCACGTACTAGGCTTACAATTATCTTGTTAGTATAAAGCTTATAAATGTCAAGATGGTTTATTCATGACTTCAGCCTTTACATATATAGAGTACAGAGACAGATGAACGTGAGATGAACGTGGAGAGATCTGTGCTAACAACTGCCTAACTCTCCCTAACTATTCTCCTGAGTTTAAGCTACTGGCTAATGCTTGAGACTTGTTCAAACATAAGCAACAAAAATAATAAATAAAAGAGTATCAATAATACAACAATAATAAATAAACGATTATAATTAATTATTGCTAATAGTTAGTGCTAAGGGGAATATTATGTTGCTTTTATATGGGTGATTAACGGTATATGTGATTCTAAGATTAGTGATCGTGTTACGGATTGTTTGGTTCAAAACGATTTAAAATATGCCTTTTACTATTAATAAAAGAAATGTCTAAAACAATCTAATTAATTACTGAGATAAGAAAGAATACAAGCTGATGATAACCTTTTACCAAAAGAACTTCAAAATTCTTGAATTAACAATGTTTGAGTATTGCAAAAAAAAACAGTGTTTGAGTTACACCCTTTTTATTCATCGGTAATATTTGTTTGTGTTAATAAAATTTGTATGTGTCTGTAAATCATGAGGTACCTTTTTTCAAATTTGTCAAGGTGATTACACGGAAATCAATATCAGTATACACAGATAATAAATGTATGTGTACACACACTTTTTCTCTGCACAAACAACTAATATTTGGGTTATGTTTTTGATGTACACAAACAAAAAACATTACACACAGACAACTAATGTCTGTGTACACAAACATTGGTTCTCGTGCATTCGTCTTGACTTTTGTGCAAAAAATCCTATCTACACACAAACCAATGTTTGTGTACACAAACATTAGTTGTATGCGTGTAAAATTTTATTTTTGCACACAAACAGCTTAACCTTGATATTAGTTGTCTGTACAGACAAAAAGTGTTTGTATTGATAGTGTTTGTGTTTGTACACACCAACATTGGTTTCCGTGCAACCACATCGACAAATCTGCAAAAAAAGTACGCCATGATTTACACGCATAGACAAATTTATACACATAGACAACATTTATGGTGTAAATGATGTGTACACCAAATATTATTGTTGTTATTCTGCACTCGTCTGATGAAAGTTCATATGACATAGCGACACAATTATTTAGACAATAATTAAATAAGATAATTTAAATATATTTTGAAAAACAATTTTAATAAGAACGTAATATAATAAGATAATAAGATTACTATTTATAAATGTAATCTTATAAATATATTGTTTTTTTTTTTCAAAAGTTACAAACTTTCCATGGGACGGGGAGTCGGGGACCTGGGACAGTGGGACCTGCCATTTTCTTTACATTATTGAATTATTATTAGTATTTCTTACGTGTCTCACCCCAAAAAATATCTAGAAACATGCTACTCCGTATAATGGTAATGCCAGCCAATCAAAACATCAGCCACTCGATTATTACACGGAAATAAAATCCGGATTGGGGCTGCCATCTCTTTCCCTCTGCGTCATCTCCCACCCATTTTTTTTTCTCATTTCCCGTCCTATATAAGCTTCCCAGCATCGATCTGCCATTTCCGTGAACTGGAATTCCCAACTTAAACCCCCTAAAGGAATAAAATCGCAACAGAGCGGAAAGGGAAAGCGATTTTCAGCGACCCATTTCCTCATTCGCTCTGTCAACGAATTCTGTTTTTTCCCTTCCCCTTGCTTCTTTTATAGATTCTAGATCTCAGTTATTGATTCTATAGGATTTCTTGAGTTGTTTATTCTTTGATTTTCGGAAGGGGAAAAATGGGAACGGAGGTTATGAGACCGCATGATTGTTTGATCCAGAGATTGGCCCCGTTTCATCGCCGGAAAATCGGGTGCCCCGCCGGAAATGGGAACGCTGCCTTTTTCCCTCGTTACCGGAAACCGGTGGGCCGGGCCGAGAAGAAGAGACACAACGCGGGTACGAAGCGGTCGCCCAGCGTCGAGAATCTGGAGACCGGCGAACTCGTCATGGGTCGGGTCACGATTCTGCGGCGAGGGGAGTCGCTGGACTCGTTGAACGCGAAGATCCACAAACCCGCCCCGGGGCCGGTTAATAGTAGCGACGGCGGCGATTTAGGGCGGATCCGAGTCAGCCACCAGTTCGGAGACGTCTACGCCGGCTCGGCTTTCTCGAACTCGCCGTCGCCGAGAGCCGTACCGTTGCCTTCCTTCTTCTCCAACATCCCGAACCCGAAGCAAGACGGGTTTGACGATTCGGCTACCCGACACCTAAGACGGATGCTCCGACTCGAATAGCGAATCCGGATCCGGTTCATCTCTTAGAAATCGACGGTGGCGAAATCTCTCCAATATAGGTTATTTTTTGCACAAATGGAGAGATTTAAATGATGTCAAAATTAAGGAACCAAAGTTAATTGAAAGAGGGAAATTAAGAAGGATGTAATTGTAATTAAGGGTTGCCGGTTTTTCTACTAATTGTTGTTCAGTAATTTCATGTGCAAGAAAGAGGAGGTGGAATGGTGTTTGCGTATGATTGTTTCTTCCTTACATTTTATCCATTACTTTTAGTTGATTATTACTCCGTACACAATATGTGATATTATAAATCACTTTGGTAACATTATAAATCTTGGATAAAGCAATTGACTTGAAGATGAATTAAAAATTGTAATACTCCTATTTCACTCTGTATTATCAAAAAACTTGCCAAACAAAAAAATGAAATGTTGAAATCCAAACAATCAGCTACTTGTTTCTCTAAATAACAATCGGATACTTCATCTGTTCCTAATTGTTCTTTCAACTGTGGGTTGCGACTTGCGAGGTTTGGCCAGCAAATATTCTTAAATTGTTGCAAAGCTTCAAAAAATAATTCAATTTTCATAAATTTCTTATGTATAAAATAAAAGATTAAAAGTGGTTTAAATTGATTTAAATGGAAGATCTTTAGGGAGTACTTTCTTATTTCCTTTTGTTTGTCATCAACATATGGGATGTGAAAATATGGGATAATTAATGAAAAGGTCTTCAGAAGAATGTCTTGCAATTTAACAAAATCTTGATTAAGAGATCAAACAGACATGGAACATTATAAAAAAGTGATACACTTCATCCCGAGGGGTCCAGCGCTGATCGTACAAGTTAATTAAAAAAAACTAAATTGAACTTTAATCACAAGATAACAGATAGTGAATGTAATTCTGGTACACACATTTGTACCCTTTGCAATTTTGTGCAATAATCATAAACTTATCTTTTGTGGCCGCCGTTCCTATCTAGCCCCTTGCTACGCTGACTTGGAACAGACATGCAACATTGAAATATATGCATATACTCTGTGTAAGTTTACGCAATAATTCGAAACTAATCTTTTGTGGCCGTTCCTGTCTAGCTCCTTGCCACGCCGACTTGGAACAGACATGCAACATTGTAATATTTGCATATACATTGTGTAATTATACGCAATAATCCAAGACCTATCTTTTGTGGTCGTTCCTATCTAGCTCCTTGTTACGCCAACTTGGAACAGATATGCAACATTGTAATATTTGCATATACCTTGTGTAATTCTACGCAATAATCCAAGACTTATCTTTTGTGACTGTTCCTATCTAGCCCCTTGCTACGCGACTTGGAACAAACATGCAACATTGTAATATTTGCATATATCTTATGTAATTTTATGCAATAATCCGAGACTTATCTTTTGTGGCCGTTCCTATCTAGCCTCTTGCTATGCCGACATGGAACAAACATGCAACACTGTAATATTTGTAACCTGGTCGAAATTATGTGGCGTTCTCATATTTAGTCAAACCTCAATAAAGGCAACTAATGGAATACCTCAAATAGAGATGATTGATTTAGTCAAATGTAGTAATAGGTCAAACCAGCCAAAAACTCTCAAAACGCCACTTTCTAAACACAAACTTAAATTTCCCAAGTATGAAATGCTGCATTGTAATTTCTTCGAGAAATGTAATGAACGAAATCACGAACTACACAAAATTCGACTTTCCACGACACATATGAATTTCTTTTTTATTTTTACCAAAATAGCACATTCCTTCATCGATCAAATAAAATACTGCGTAAAAAAATTATCGTTTGCTTAGTAAATTAGCGTAAGTAAAAAGGTTGTAAGAATACAATCATAAGGCAGTCTTGAAGATACAAACGAAATTCTTCAATAATAATCTACTAGCATAACGTCATTCACAATATAAGATTATTAAATTGCTTGCAGATAGCTTAGAAGTATATATAATACACCACTAGATTATCAAAATCTATCGTACTTTCAATGTTTCATGCCTTGTACATGTGGATCAAAGTAAATAAAATGAAATAATGATTTGAATCAAATGAATGATATATCAGTGTTAATATTTTAATGGGTAACTTGTCGTTCACCTTATTTATTTTCTAGATTATATATATTTCGGAATCAACAAACTTGGAGTATTATTTATTGGTGTCTTTGCCGGAACCACCCTGGCTCTCAGGGTACCCTATCCCATGTCGTCTCTGAGGAAACAACATAAACACAGTTCCAGAGACGGCGCCAACGACAGGCGGCAGCACCATGAGAAGCATATTCTGAGTCGTCACAAACGCCGGATAATAACAATTCACAGTGTTCCGGTCAAGAAGCACGAGCACCCCGAAGACCGTCATGGTGACCGCCGCATGAAAGAAGTCCCCTAACCGGACCCGATACGCCGATGTGTCGCTGTCGCCGCCTGAAGATGGCCAGAGCCCTTTTCGGGTGGCGATGCCGTAGTGTGTCTGGCCCTTGTCATCCGTGTAACTGTCGGTGAAGCAGGCGAATCCGCAGGAGAGGCCGCAGAGGGCGACAAAGGTGGCGGAGAGCCATTTGTTGACGGCGGAGCATTGGCCGTTGTTCGTCAGGACTGGGTTGGCGAACTGGAAGATGAATACTGTTCCGGTGGGGAGTAGCCTGATGAGGTCGGCAAGGCTGCTGAAAGTCTTTTCCTTGATGCTGCTTTTTCTTGAGCTACTCATTATTTATTTCTTATTATAAATTACTACGTATTTCTTTTTGTCGAAGTATGTAATATAATATATTTCGGAAAGTATAGACTATATATATGAGTATATGGGATTGGAATGATTCAATGATTCATTGAACAGTTATTACTTCAACTCTTCGGAAGCTGGTATACCAAAATGGACTTCTTTTTTGTATACCAAAATGGACTTTTTTTGGTTTATGAACTTCAAAGCTAGCTAGAAGCAAGCTTTAAGCAATCTCCAAGTACTTGCCCTGTTTCTTCTCCTTCTGCTACATAAAAAGAGATGACCTTTCTAAAAAAGAGATGACATTTATTATGAAATTCAATTAATTAATGTGTGAATAATTAACTAAAAACATAACCAGGTAAAAGGAGTTGAATTGTATTTTAGCATACCCCAATATATAGGTATAAATATGGTGACAGATTTTCCTAAATTAGTGGCAACTCGTCTTCTTGTCATCTTGTGTCTCCAACTGGAATACATTGTCGCAATTCACTAGAAAGATGTCCTCCATAGCCCTATATAGCATGGGCAAGACAGATTTTAGGATTTTAGGAAGTTAATTAATGCTGCTGCTATGAGTCCATTTTGCAAATCTGTTGGCATGTCCCGCAAAAGGAAAAGGATAAGAAATTACATGTCCCGCAAAAAAAACGGACAATCTTAACCAGGCATGGACCCGGGCCGGGTCGGGCCCGGGCCGGGTCAAGGCTCGGTCGGGCCTCGGGTCCTATAACGGTAGGCCCGGGACCGGCCCGGTCAATGACCGGTTCCGGTTCGGGCCGGGTCACCCGCCCGGGTCACGGTTCGGGCCACCCGCCGGGCCGGGCCGGGCCAGTACAATTTTTTTTTTATTAATTATATATTATACAAATTGCTATTAAAAACAAAGTTCAAGTGCATTTATTTGAAATAAGAACTACATTTGAGAATTGAGAAAAAAATAACAATACGAAATACATTTTGTAAATTGTAATGAATATCAATTGGGATTTCCGCCACCGTTGGTTGTTGTTTTCCCTTTGTCACAGGACTTCATATGTTTTATTGGCATCCCGTATCCGTATGAACGCCCCAAGCAACATTCTTTCTTGCACCACCTGCAAGTTGCCCACCACAATCCGGTCTTCGGGTCCTTCCACTTGTCAAAATTGTTTTGCATAAGGGAAGATGTACTTTCCATATTTAAAATGGTATATGTATAAGTAGGAATGTAGGATAATAAGAGAAGATGAAGATGGAGAAGAGTTTGAGAAGAATTGGAGAAAAGGTGTAGAAAAATGTTAGAAAATAGATGTATTTATAGGTGTTTTTGAACCCCACTCCCCACACTACCACCCCCGGGACCCCCCTGCCCCCCACCCATAGCCCCAACGGCTATATAGCCGTTTGGGAGCTTTTAAATTTTTTTTTTTTTAAGTTATACACATATTGTAAAATAAATTAATTAATTTAATGAATTAAGTAAAACCAAAACAAATGTTACAAAATAGGTGTATAAGTATTTAAACAAATTACATATTCTAAATGTATTTTTAATTTAAAAACCGGCTTTATATTTTAGAAAAATAATTTTAAGTCGTTAGATTGTAACCAATTAATTAATTTGAGAAGTGCTACATATGAAAAAGTGAACACATATTTATTTGAAATATGAAGTACAAGTTTACAAATTAATTTGAACTACAACTACAAATTTACAATTTTGAAATATGAAGTACAAGTTTACAATTTTGAAATATGAAGTACAAGTATAAATAAATTTGACAAGTGCTATAAAATACATTTTGTAATAAATTCTAAAATACTAATCAATCGGAATCTCCGGCATAGGTAGAGCCACCATCGGTTGTTGAGTCATCCATAAAATCTTGGGAGGGGATGATGCTCAATTCTTGAGTTCTACGTGCGGCCTTCAACCAATCGTGGTAGCATATAAGCGTCTCAAGAGACTCCGCGCTCAATCTCGATCTAGATGCCGTTAGGACGTTGCCGGCCGAACTAAATTCTTGTTCCACCGCAACTGTTGAAACCGGCATTGATAGTACTTGCTTAGCCATCCGTGCTAAAATCGGGAACGTTCTTTCTTTTGACTTCCACCAGTCTAGAACGTCAAAGTCATCATTTTCTTCAAAATCAACTTCATATGTTAAATACAAAGTAATCTCATTCAATGCGCTTTGTTCAGTGACGTGAGTTGTTTTAGTTTTTTTCATAAGATTGCCAAATGCAGATTTAAAAATCGATTTTCCTTTAGATGAAGATGTTCGTGACGGGGGAGGGGGAGCGTTGCTATATTGTGCACGAAACTCATTAAATAAGGCATAAAATAAAGTACTAACCTCGTTGTATTCCGTTTTCGGATCTATGGGGTTATCCTCATACATTGGAAATTCACCGAAAAACGCAAGATAATAGAAGTTGAAACAATCTTCCAAATTAGCAAGTCTATAACGAGGATCGAGAATAAATGCAATACCATAAATATGGGGAATATGCGCATAATATTTTAAAAACTTTTCCTTCATATAATCACAAAAATAATGAACGAAAACGGCATTTTGAAATTCTTTAAAAGCATCGGCGAGATTAACAGCTTGTGGAATAAATTGGTTTGCGGTAGGTTTATAAACATGACTAAAAGTTTCAGTAGCATTAAAAAAATATATCAAAACATTACAAATTTTTTCGCAAGTGTCGATCTCAGCCGCGTTTATAATATAGTTATCATGTTCTTTTAAAAAAGCAGGAAAATGTTCTTTATATCTAAGAACAACTTTAAGTAATTTATAAGTACTATTCCAACGAATACTCAAATCTTTAGGAAAAACAACATATCTCACACCTCTTTCAGTCAAATAACTTTGCCATTTTAATCTAAGTTGACCATTACCCCAAATACGTCTAACCCCCCCCCCCCCCCCCCCTTTTATTACCTCCATGGAATCTCCTAACGCTTTTAAACCGTCTTGCACACATAAATTTATAACATGACATGCACACCGTTGATGAAAAAATCTACCCATCAAAGAATTGGCACCACACAACTCACGCAATCTAGGTATAGCAGCAGTATTATTAGTAGCATTATCGAAACCAATAGCAAACACCTTATCAATCAAATTATACTCAATTAAAATACGCTCAATCAAAATATAAATATGTTCAGCGGTGTGACGATCATTAAATTCACGAAAAGCAAGAACACGTTTATGCATATTCCAATCCTCATCAATATAATGTGCAGTCAGATCCAAATAATATAAATGATGAAAATCATCCTCCCATATGTCAGAACAAATAGTAACACGCCCATCAAAGTTTGCAAAAAAAATTTGTAACCTTTCCTTTTCCGCATTATAAAGCCTTATTATTTCTTTCTTAACAGTTTTGCGACTATAATTTCTAAATTGAGGATTTAAACTACCTTGTGCATAATCTCTTAAAGCAAGACTTTCAGAAAACAAATAAGGCAAATTTTCTTCACAAATTAAGTTAGCCATACCAGTCAAATTTTGTGCATCATTGTAGGAGAAATTACCAAAAGGTTGAGAATTCGCAAACCTCGATATTTGAGTTTGCTTCCCCGTTCCGCCGCCTAATTTTGCATACTCCACGGGGTGCTTTGCCTTAAGATGCCTTGCGGCGGATCCGTATCCGCCGGAGGTTTCCAAACTATAATTGTTGTTGCACCACTTGCAAGTTGCGTGCCAATAGCCGGTTTGTGGGTCCTTCCATTTATCAAAATTATTTTTCATTAGTTCAGACTTACTTTTTTTATTACCGGTGGCGGTTTGGGATGAGGCAGGCGCGTCGGCGTCGTGGCTGCCGGCACCCTCCTCCTCGGCCATCTCCGGTTCCAATTCCTCCGCATCTTCATCCTCAAGCTCCTCTTCGTCAATGGTCGTCGGCATTTGTTGTTGTTGTAGAAAGCGGTTATTATGTCGGGCCAATTCTTGTTGGAGTTGTTCTTCGGACATCGCATCTCCATCTCGCCTTTGGTAACCCGTTTCAAAATCATCTCGACTTTGAGATGAAGACCCGGCAAGTTCTTTACCTTTGCGGGATTTCTTCCTCCCAATCTCGTTTCTTCGATTGCGTTGGAGGTTACCCAAATCAACCGAATATCTACCACCTTCCATCTAAAAAATGTAGCAAATATTAATTCACAACAAATATAATAATGGATACAAAACTAATGCAACTAATTAAAACTATTTTAATTAATACTTCAAACTAATTTTTTGCAAAGTAGAATTAATGTGTGTCTCTACAATTAAAATTATAGCAACTTTTGAAGTAAATAACTAGTACAAGTAAAAATGTAACAACAATGCTAATTAAGTAGTTAACTAGTATAGTGACAAATGTAACAAACTAACAACTAGTTAAATAAAATGTGAAGTATTTTAATTAGTATAATGAAAAATGTAACAAGAATGGTATTGAACTAATTAACTAGTATAATGAAAAATGTAACAAGAATGGTATTGAACTAATTAACTAGTATAATGAAAAATGTAACAAGAATGCTAATTAAGTAATTAACTAGTATAATGAAAAATGTTACAATAATGGTAATGAACTAATTAACTAGTATAATGAAAAATGTAACAAGAATGCTAATTAACTAATTAACTAGTATAATACTAGTTATAGTAAGTAATATATAATATAATGTTTATATTATATAATATATAAGTATACTATACTATAAGATGAGTAATACACTTATATTTTATACTTTAATATATAAAATATATATTAAGTAGATGTAGAATGTATGTATTAAGTGGATATAATAATTGTATAAGAATTAAATATTAGAGTATAATGGAGAATTGGAGATTGGAAAATAAGTATATATAAAATATAAGTAGAGAAGTAGATATTATTATGTATTAAGTATATAGTAATAGTTTATAAAGTATATTTAATACTTTTTTATATAAAGTATATATTAAGTAGATATAGTATGTATGTATGTATTAAGAGATATAAGTAGAAATTAAGTAGATAAGAAATATAAGCAATATAGTATATGTAGATAATAATATATATAAGTAGATAATTAATATATAAGTAGATATAATAATTGTATAAGTATTAAATAGTAAAATAAAATATAAAGGAGAATAAGAGAATTAGAGAAGATGAATATGGAGAATTGGAGAATGGAGATGAGTAGAGAGTAGGATTTAGGTAGAGTTGGAGAAGAGGTGTGAAAAAATGTTTAAAATTAGGAGTATTTATAGGTTTTTTTTTTAACCCCCACTCCCCACCCCCACCCCCCACCCAAACCCCCCTGACCCCCCCCCTGGTACCACCCAACGGCTATATAGCCATTTGGGGTGGCCGTTGAGCCACAAGAATAAAAAAAAAAAAAAAATTAAATTTTGGACCGTTAGGCCCGGGCCCGGGCCCGACCCGGCCGGGCCGGGCCGCCAAAACCAGGACCCGAGCCCGGTCCCGCTAACCCGACCGGGTCTCTGCGGAACCGGACCCGGACCCGAGAACCGGGCCGGTTCCGGGCCCGCACAGTGACGGGCCGGGCCGGTCCCGGGCCGGGCGGCCCGAACCGGGTCCACGCCTAATCTTAACAGAATTAAGGTCCATCCCACTAAGGATGTTTACTTTTGGACTGTTTTCAGTCTCAGACCAGACCAGATCAGACCAGACTTTCATAGTTATAAAATACACGACGTTTACCAGACCAGACCAGACCAGACCAGACCAGACCAGATTAGACCAGCAAATTTCAGTCCAAAAGAAAACATCCTAACTCACCAAGTAAAACTGGCTGATAAGGGGATCAGCAAACACGCAGTTATGTTCACAAGTAACAATAACTATATTTTTCCTACTTAAATAAGCATTATATACATGAGATGCAAACTAATTTTGGTCCTTCGTAATACGTATCCTGCAAAGTCAGCCACACACTGTACAGGAATAGGCAGATAGAACAAATAAGTAAAAAAAAATTACACAGTTCATAATGGTGAGCTACAGCAATGGAAAAACATAAGCCCACCAATCAGTGACTAATAGTGGAATTGACCTAATTTGTAGGATCAACATGAAAAAATACTTTTCATTTTAAGGGCCTAAATGTGGACTTAATTGTGATCTTTGTCAATACACATAATTGTCATCATTGTCTTTTCTCATGAATTTACAATCCAATCTAATAATTGTAAACGATTCATTGGATTTACACTATATTAAGCCCAAAATAAGTGATAAAGGTGATTACGAATAAAAGAACACCTAACTGTTTTACCCAACCATTCATGTGTAGTTTGGTGTATGTGTTTACTTCCCATAATGGGGTGCGAGAGGACAATTATATCAAGTCACACCAAAATATCTGTAGCAAATTATGATTTAAAAAAAAAAGGTAAATAAAACCACAATCTCACATCTAGCATTACCAAGAGGGCTATATCACAACAAACCTAGCTCAGCAGCATCACTTTTGACTATCCTGGCTTAGCTAAACTTCCTTAACCTCGAAATAGCTTAGGTTTTCCAAATAAGATGAGGGGTAGATGTGCTTAAGTTGAGATTCAAGTCCATGTCCCCCCTCCCACTAATCAACAAACATTGTATGTAGCAAATTGGAATGGGAATCTTCTTTGCCAATCTCATCAAAGAATCCACTAGAGGCGTTTTCCCTCTTAATTTTTCTCTCTTCAGCAATAGATTCTGCGCTTTCCATGCAATAGTTTCTCTTACCTTGTTTCGCAGGTCTTTCAGCAACAACATACTTGTTTCCTTCTCGCGATCTTTCAGGGAAGCCAGCCCAAGCTTTTAAAGAAAATGTCATAATCTCATCGTAAGAACAGGTGTGATCAAATATTCAAATGCCTGTTTTCTAACATTAAAGTGTGTAACTAACATTGTTTATATTCTCCACCCTTTATTCAAAGCAACTGTATTCAAAATCCAGGAAATTTATTTATTGATTGATTCATTTACAACCCGTTTGGAGAATCCTTTTTCGGGTTATCAATGAGACATTTTCACTTCGCACCAAACAATAACTTATTTCTTTTGATTAATACACAATTCTAACATGCGATATCAAAAGTTATGTGTTTGGTACAAAAATGGTTTATAAGCCGGAAATAAGTGTTACCAAACAGGCTCTAAGTTAACTTTTTTTTATTTTTGGATAAAAAGTGCAAGAGTTACTTCTTTTGGCTGAAATACAAGTACCCACAAACGCTTTTAATACCTTTAACAAGAATCCGTGGGCTGGGTGTTCTCAATGCCTATGAATCTATGATAGTTCACATGTAAAGTATTAAACTTTAAATATTACTACGTAACTCGTAGGATTCACATCCCACATAAGGATCAATAAGCCATTCCCAGTGAAAGAAGTGGTAATTTGATTTTAACTAGTTAACCAGTAATACAGCATTCAATGAACTAAATGCCACCATTCCTCCATTATCTAATATTTTTTAATTCACATTTCATTGCAATTGCATCAGAATCTGGAGTTTTCCGTTTCATTTTATGGATCATACACTTACTGAAGTTGCTAGTTAGTATTTCAGAGTTCTTATATTCAATCAAAACATAAAAAACACATCCTCTATGGCTGAAAAAAATAAACTAATAAATAAAAAGAACAGCCAGTTACCTCCAAAGTGATGCAGAACAATAGACGCAGCCACAGTGACATTAAGAGATGCAGTTCCACACCCATAGTGCGGAATGTATACAAAGAAATCACAGATCTCACACTCCTTTTCCGAAAGCCCTGTTCCCTACAATATGTTTAATCTCAAAAGCGTTCATTGATCACCAAATTCTAAATTTCCCCAGAAAAATTTGGCATGAAGTTCAAAATTTGAAAAACACAGCTAAAAAGTTTACCTCATTGCCAAGGAGGAAAGCGGTGCTCCTTTTGAAAGGGTGCTGATTGACAGCCCTTGCACTGTCCGTAATTTCCACTCCACATATATCACAACCTTTCTCCTGAGCACCGAAAGAAATTAACAAAGCAATTTATCATAGGGTTCCTAGAGGATTGAAGCGAATGGAGTTTCTGAGCACCTTGAGAAAGCTTTTGGCATCCGAGAGAGAGTGGAAGTGGCGGAATCGAAGGTGAGAGGTGGATCCGTGGCTCCCGAATGAGTTGAAATCCCTCCGGCCGACTAGTATCAGTTCAGAAACGCCGAAGGCGGTGGCGCTACGAGCAAGTGTCCCAACGTTGTGCCTCTTCGCTATGTTGTGCACCACGACATAGCTCTCTATTACCTTCGTCTCAGTTTCCATCTTTCTCTTGCGTTTAACCTAACTGCGTATACAATACAATTGAGTGGTGTCTGCAGCCGCTGCACCACCGTGTAGGGCTGAAACCTCACTTGAATTGGAAATCCAACGGCGGCTTTGTGGCTGTAAGTGTCGATTACCAATTAGAAAGAATGAGCTACGACGTCGTTACATTTCTTTTAGAGCATATTTATTAACAGACGGAGTAATAATAATTCAGGACTTCCCTTTCAGGACTTTTGGAAACGTCAAACGATATTACAGAGCCGAAGCCACAGCCAAATTTCTTCCCTTTAAGGATTAGTTCGCCCAATAGAGCAGCTCAGAATTGATTGAATCGGCGAAGATGGCTCAAGAGCAGAAGCCAAATCAGACTCCTTCAGGGCCATCGCTCCACCAAATGGATGCGGACGAAGAAGACGATACTGTCAAGCAACTTCAAGAATGCTCTGTCCATTACCTAGCTTTACAGGTGCCCATACTGCCACTCAATTTTCGTATATAAAAAGGAGTAATTTTTTTTGTACTTTTACAGTGGAAAAGAAAACAGAAAACCCACACCCTCAATTGGAGCTGATAACCCTTTGATATTTGCAGGATTGCCTTGTTGAAAACAACCGTAACTGGAAATCATGCCAAAATGGTAAATCTTTCTGTTTCTTCACTTTATTTATTTTAATTGGGCAGAGATTAACTATTTCCAAAGGTTTTTTTTCTTGTTTTAATGGTTCAAAATAAACAGAAATTATGATTATAAATTGCGGTAGGCTGCAATGCATGATGAGAATGAGACAGTGTGATTTCTGAAGGAGTTGAAAATGGTGTTGCATAAGTGCCTCCAGCCTCCACATGTGTCCACATTGCGGTTTTCGGTTTGATTCGAATCACACTGCAATTCAGGTGCAATGTGGTTGCGTTGTGGAAGGCATGCGCAATATTGTGGGACTGCAACATTTGCTACTTTCTGCAATTTAACAGAAGAGGAAAATGAATAGAACATAACCAACTGATTTTTTCTTTTTGGAAATCATTGCAGCAGTAAAAGCTTTGAAGGCTTGCAATGAGAAGAGAAGTAACAAGAAGGAGAGTTGACCCTTGGAGAAACATTTTTTATTTTCAATGCAAGTTGAAATAGAAAGGATTTTTAGTGCATCACTTTGCAAATGCTGCATGGATTATTATTACGGAATAATTGACAAGTTCACAAATATGAACAAATGAAGTGTTACTGTGATTGTATTTGGGTTTTGTACTGTCTTTGTTCTCATTATATGGTCTTATTCTACTTCTACCAGCCTAACAATCACATTGGTTCCTGTCGGTGCTACACTGCAACATGTAACCAAGACTCTGACAAAGACAGGTTTAGGTGCGGTCACACAGCTACATTATATGATTATGGTCCTTGAAATTTTAAAAGTCACAACCCGAACCAGTTTAGACTTGTTCTAGATGCCAGCTCCAGACCAGTACTCTGATATTTGCTTGCATTGTCTTGGTCCAATCCTCGTACCAGGTCCACCCGTAAGTAGGGGTGGATTAGGCCCGGGCAGGGCCATGCTCCGGGTCATAAATATTCAGGCCCAGTACCGGCCTGGGTTAGAACCGAGGCCGGGCCGTGTCGGGCAAAAATTAATTTTTTTTGTTGTCTTTTAGAATTAATTCGAGCTGCCCAAACCCCCCAACCCCCAAACCGCCCAGCCCAACCCACCAAGTACCAACCCAACCCTAAAAATAAAAAAATATATATATAATTATTTGGGCCCGGTTCGGGCCCTAGTCCCGGTCTCGGACCCTCGGGTCAAGCTTGTACAGTAACGTGCCGGGCCCGGGTTGGGCTGAACCTGCCTAGTTCACCCCTACCCGTAATTATGTGTCTCACATCGATGAACTTCTTTCCCTCTTTGAGCAATGGTAAAATGTCCAAAAAAGTTTAAAGGTGGCCTTGTGGCAAACGAGGACTTGAGGAGCATATTGGGCCTATTGGCTATTGAAGCATTTCTTTGTACTTCACTACTTCATGGTTTGTATTGCAGATTGCAGATAAAGGAATTATTATAAGTGGTTAAAAATGTTATTGTACTTGTATTTCTTTGTACCTCATGGTTGGTATTTAGGTGTTTTAGTGTGGAGTTTTCCACATCCATGCTTGTTTTAATTTGATTATAAATTAACTAACATGTAACAGTAGTACTTGATATTTTGGACTTCTTACCATTTTTTTGAAGTGTGTATCTTAAGGAGAAAGAAGGGAAAATACTTGGCCAAACAATATTCAATATTTTAGAAAGCTTTCAATAGGATCACATTTATCAACAACATAACACTTCTACTCATAACCACTTTGAAACAAAAACATATCCAAAGGAGCTGCTCATGCGTTTGCAATATTTGGCCAGCCTAATGGAATGAGAAGCATTTTCAATAGCTCTCATGGACCTAAAATCAGACACTTCTTGGTGCTAGAGTATCACTGTATCAGACAGAAAATAGAAATGGTTGGTAATACAAATATCTCAAGTCCCTGGGCAAAGAGATTTGCACTAGCAAAAAAAAATTGCTGCCATTTTGGTGTGCAAGCCCTGCCCATCTCCAGCAAAACCACCTGCCATAAAAACTCAGTCAAACACAAAAAAGTACAGAGTAATATATGTACTCCAAGAAAGCTCGTTTGCGTTCGGATTTGAAAAGATCAAAATTGCTTTTAAAACACTAAAACTGCTTTTCATTCTTCAAAAAGTGTATTTTAGTTTAGAAAGCAAACACATATATGTGTTTAACTATTTCAAAGCAGTTTGGAGCAAATTTCAAATAAATTCTATACGGAGTACTCTCTCCGTCCCCTTTTAAATGTCTCGGAAGAGGGTGGCACGAGATTTAAGAAAAGTGGGTTTGTGTGCTTAATATTAATTGATAAAGTAAGAATAAAGTAAGAATGATTTTGAGTCACACAAACTTTACCAATATGGGACGATTAAATAGGGACATCCCAATATGGTAAAACGGAACATTTAAAAGGGGACGGAGGGAGTATTATCTAAGCAACGCTCACTTTCTATAAAGAGTTTCTGAAAAAACAATTATCCTCAACACAAAACACTGTGATATAAACTCACTTCTACCAAACTAAATTTTGAAATGAACTTTTAACTCAAATCCAAATACACATTAGTTGATCTGTGCTTTAAGAAAAGAAAAGGCCATTCTACTGCATTGTGGGTAGAAAACACTTTTTCACATCAAGGGCTTCTTTGGCTAGTTGATTTTGACTTTTTGTTTACTGATTAATAAGTATATATTTGCCAAGCTTACGTTAGAAAACAAACATAACTTTTCATCTTTACTTTCTAGCTAGCAAGCCAACTAATGGTGGAACAACAAATCAATAAATAAATATCACCCCCTCCCCTCCAATATTCCCCAACCAAACGAAGGGTTAAAAGAAAAAGACGATTACCATTTCAGACACATGAGAACAGGAAAATTCTCTCTCTATTCAGTTACTGCAATGCAAACAACAAACAAACACCGCTTTAGCTATAAACAAAGTAATAAGCTGCCAAAAGGGAAAAGAAAGGTGGGCGGGGAAGGTAATTGAAACTCACAAATGCGTTATAAGCTAGGAGAGAGCTAAGGGGGGAGTTTGAGATTTCACTGAAGAAGTTAGCTCAGAGACATCGCCACCTTTCACTGACAGAGAAGTTTCAGATCCAGTAGGAGTGAAAAAATTTTCAGACACCCTTTCCCCTGTTTCCCTATTTCTTTCAGCACAGTCAGTGGTTCTAACACCTGACTATCACACACGTTTAAGATTATATAATAATAAACCGTTATGGAAACTAACAAATACTTCTTCCGTTCTTTTTTAGTTGCAACCTCCCCTTTTTCACGTTTGACAATGTACAACTTTGACCGTCATTATACTCCCTCCGTCCCTCAATACTTTGCCAAGTTTGACCGGCACGGGGATTAATAAAGTAAAAACTGTGTGGTTGAGGTTTGTGTAGAGGAGAGAGAATTAACTAGAACCACAAATTCTTTACTTAAAAGGGAAAGTGGCAAAGTTAGTGGGACATCCAAAAAAGGAAAGTTGGCAAAGTTATAAGGGACGGAGGGAGTATTTAATTCTCTATTAGTAAAAACGTTTTAAAAATCAGATTATGAAACTTTGTAATGAGACGAATTCAACAATAGTTTTCAAAAAAAATAATTCACATACATTAATAAATAAAATATAGTCAAAGTAGAGTAATATAAATTCCAATGTTGCAACTAATTCAATATGGAGGATAGTATATATACAATCAAATAAAGATACTAACCAAGCTTTTAAGTCAAGCAATAGGAAAATATGCAATCAAAAAGAGAAAGATAAAAGGAACATATTTGCAGTTTTTATGGAGAGGATCGCCGCCATCTGGTTTGCACTTAATTGTTGAGACCAACACTTGAACTTTTCCAAGTGTGGGTCTAATCAATTCTGTTCAAACCAAATGATGCCTCATTGGCTTTCCCTCCTAGATAGAAAGACTACAAAATTTGAGAACTTCGCTACCGGTAACTGTTTACATACAGAAACATTTAAAATAAAGTGTGTAATTAGCCAAACACATGTGAAAAATGTATGCATCACAACATTATTCATCGTCATCAAAACATGTGCTACGTATGCAGCTATGCGCTTGCCTTGATGTGCCTATTAAAGTGATACCTAATACTAGTAGTAATATATAACAATCACAGCCTCCATCAAATTTATATCTACAAGAAGATACTGAAAAATATATGCACAAACAAACAGTAGAAAGATGTTGCTAGAGTGACAAGAAAATAAGAAGTCTTGGATAGCAAATATGAGCAAACATACATGGAA